GCGAATCAGCTCTTCGGCGGGAAGCCGGGGAGGACTGAAAAGCAGGCGGTGGCTTCCCGCTCAGGCCGAGGGTGGCGGAGGTGAGCTGGGGCGGGGAGCGGTTCCCCTGTGCCCCCCCCTCCCCCGGGTTACCTGCTGCAGCACGGGCGGCCCTCCTCGCGCACTCCCCACCCCCGCCCGAGCTCTCCTCTGCCTCCCTGGGCCTGAGCAGGAAGCTTCCGCCTGCTTCTCAGCCCGCCGGCTTCCCGCGTGAACAGCTGATTTGCAGGAAGCCTGGGGGGGTGGAGAAGCAGAGCGGTGCGGCGCATTCAGGGGCGGAGGCGGAGGTGATCTGGGGCCAGGGGTGGGGCAGGGAGCTGCCAGTGGGTGCTCTGCACCCACAAAATTTTCCCCGTGGGTGCTCCAGGGCTGGAGCACCTGTGGAGTCGGCGCGTAAGGTGCCACTTTGGCCGGTTAAATTTAGAAGCCCTGTTAGAACCGGTTCTCCCCCACGGAACAACCGGTTCTAAAAGGGCTTCTAAATTTAACAACCGGTTCTAGAGAACCGGTGTGAACCGGCTCCAACTCACCACTGGCTACAACCCCCCTGAGCGACATAAGTTACACCGACATACATAAGTGGCCGTGTGTATAAGCCCACAGCTCTGCAATGGTCACCTGAAAATTCTGCATGTCCTTGCTGATGCCCGGCCACCACGCCACCTGGCTGGCCCATTCACGCGGATTTCTCCTCTCATGTTGTGGCCGCTGAGGTTCGTTTCAATAGTCTCTGACGCACAGCGCCACCTAGTGACTGAACAGCTCCATAGGGTGTAGCACCCCAGTCCACACCCAGAGCCAGCCTTCCTTAGGGGCAGTTTCGCTCCAAGTCACTGGGCACTGGCTGATCTTTGCTAGGGGCAGCCTCTGCCACCTGCAGACAGATGTAGGGACATGACAGCCATCTTGGCTAAGGGCAAGAAATGTCTTCAGTCCCACAAAGTCATGGGAGACCGTGGCCGTTGGGAAGGAGGGGAGAAATTCTTTGTTTAAAGAGGAGGGATAGCTCAGTGGTTTGAGCATTCGCCTGCTAAACCCAGGGTTGTAAGTTCAATCCTTGAGGGGACCATTTGGGATCTGGGGCAAAAATTCGGGATTGGTCCTGCTTTGAGCAGGGGGTTGGACCAGATGACCTCCTGAGGTCCCTTCCAACCCTGATATTCTGTGAACAAGAGAAACCCAGTCTCCTGCCCCCCTCGCATGGTTACCAGCTCCCCTTCCCATCTGGCTCATTTTCACAGGCTCCTTCTGCCCTGGTGTTCCCCTGCATCCCCCTCAGTGTTCACCCCCTCCCCCAAAATCCACTGTAACCCCTTTCAGTTTTCTCCTGCACCTCACAACCCTCTGCAGCCTCCCTTCTCCCCATGTCTTTATCTCCACACTTTGCTGAGGACTTGCTTACCCACAGAGCCCAGGGGTGGCCATATTCCCAGAAGCTGGGCTGGCTTCTGGTCCGTAGGAAAGAGTAGGAGATGGTGGCCATTTTATTTGGGTCAGCATCACTTCGTGTCCGTTTCATACTCCCCAAACCAACGCGCCATGCCCTGTTGGGAATGAGATTGGGAAGGAGCTGAGAAGCTTGGCTGGAAGGGGGCAGCATTCCTTTAGCTGGGTGCTCTTGGCTACACAGGATCCTGGGGTCTGTGGCGCCTAATTTCAAAGGCCTGCTGAGACGCAGGCGTCCTGAACACGCAGCAGGCAGAAATCCCCCTTTCCTTTACTCTGCGCAGCCTCTACTCTTAGACACAGTCTTCGTTTGGTTTCATAATCAGATTATTAATTCCCCTCAAACCTCACGGGTTGGTTGATTTCTGCCAGCCCCGTCTAGTCATCAGCTGGACCGGGAGGGCCTGGCTGACAGCCTCCTTTGGCACAGACTCCGCACATGGGAGTTAGGCACTTAGGTTCTTCTGAAAACCTCACTCAGTGACAAGCTGCATCTTTAGGTGCCTAAACACTGATCAGCAGTGTGTGTGGTGGTGGTGGGGGTGTTTTATTTAGTCAATGGTTTATTTAGGATTCACACTTCAGCTTAATGAGAGGAGATCACACCCACTCCAACTCCAAGCTGGGACACATGGGAAATGTGAGGTGGGGCCTGAGGAATTAATACAGTGGATCCCACTTCATTCTGCCCCACAGACCTGACAAAACAGGAACCAAAGGCAGATAACGAACTAGGGAGAAGGCTGCTTCCGAGGGGGCAGGTCACCTTCCCCATAGGACCTGGGCATGAGAAGACTGTAGAGACCTATAGCTGGAGAGTCACTGGCCCTCAGCAGGAGACGTCCACGGGAGGAGAGTGTGTGAGATGGATGGGTGCTGAGTGGAGAGAATACAGCGAATAAATGCTCAGCTATAGTATTGCCAAACCCAAATGTTCAAAAATCGTGAGTCAGGGCACCCAAAATCACAAGATTGGCTTGAAAATCATGAGATATTCAAGCTAATAAATCTGGTTCTTTTTATTTGTCTTTAGGGGGCACGCTTCCAGACTTTTCTCTGCAGCCAGGGGGGCTAGAAACTTACTTGTTAAACAATGAAAGCTGAGGCTTTCATGTAATCACTGGACTCCAGGAGCTGGGACTTTCAGAACAAGCACCAAATATTGCTAGACTGGTGGTAAAATCACAAGAATTGGCAGAGTGGATCCATGCAAATGTACCACAGCAGTCAGCGAGGGGTGGAGCTGGGAGGTGACACCTTGCCCAGGTCCCTGGGGCCATTCTCAGTGATCTCACAGGGCCCCAGCACATCAAGCTGCGAATGTCTGAAAGCCAGCACCTACTCACATAGGCCCATGCCCTGCCACAGGAATGGCTAGGTGCGTCTACATGGCAAAACACACCCGCAAAAGCAAGTCTCAGAGCCTGGCTCTTCAGAGTCAGCATGGCAGGCCTGGCCCTACAGCGCTACCAAGAGCCATGTAGACATTCCTGCTGGGGCTCTGAAGCCTGCAGGAGCGGGGGGGACTCCAGCCTGAGCTGGGATGTCTACACAGCTAGCTCACTGCACCAGCACAAGCCTGCATGTGCACCCTGTGTCATGGCGATCGGGGGGAGGTCCCGGATGACTGGAAAAAGGCTAATGTAGTGCCCATCTTTAAAAAAGGGAAGGAGGAGGATCCTGGGAACTACAGGCCAGTCAGCCTCACCTCAGTCCCCGGAAAAATCACGGAGCAAGTCCTCAAGGAATCAATTCCGAAGCACTTAGAGGGGAGGAAAGTGATCAGGAACAGTCAGCATGGATTCACCAAGGGCAAGTCATGCCTGACTAATCTAATTGCCTTCTATGACGAGATAACTGGCTTTGTGGATGAGGGGAAAGCAGTGGACGTGTTGTTCCTTGACTTTAGCAAAGCTTTTGACACGGTCTCCCACAGTATTCTTGTCAGCAAGTTAAAGAAGTATGGGCTGGATGAATGGACTATAAGGTGGGTAGAAAGCTGGCTAGATTGTCGGGCTCAACGGGTGGTGATCAATGGCTCCATGTCTAGTTGGCAGCCGGTATCAAGCGGAGTGCCCCAAGGGTCGGTCCTGGGGCCGGTTTTGTTCAATATCTTCATAAATGATCTGGAGGATGGTGTGGATTGCACTCTCAGCAAATTTGCAGATGATACTAAACTGGGAGGAGAGGTAGATACGCTGGAGGGGAGGGATAGGATACAGAGGGTCCTAGACAAATTAGAGGATTGGGCCAAAAGAAATCTGATGAGGTTCAACAAGGACAAGTGCAGAGTCCTGCACTTAGGACGGAAGAACCCAATGCACAGCTACAGACTAGGGACCGAATGGCTAGGCAGCAGTTCTGTGGAAAAGGACCTAGGGGTGACAGTGGACGAGAAGCTGGATATGAGTCAGCAGTGTGCCCTTGTTGCCAAGAAGGCCAATGGCATTTTGGGCTGTATAAGTAGGGGCATAGCGAGCAGATCGAGGGACGTGATCGTTCCCCTCTATTCGACATTAGTGAGGCCTCATCTGGAGTACTGTGTCCAGTTTTGGGCCCCACACTACAAGAAGGATGTGGAAAAATTGGAAAGAGTCCAGCGGAGGTCAACAAAAATGATTAGGGGACTGGAACACATGACTTATGAGGAGAGGCTGAGGGAGCTGGGATTGTTTAGTCTGCAGAAGAGAAGAATGAGGGGGGATTTGATAGCTGCTTTCAACTACCTGAAAGAGGGTTCTAAGGAGGATGGACCTAGACTGTTCTCAATGGTAGCAGATAACAGGACAAGGAGTAATGGCCTCAAGTTGCAGTGGGGGAGATTTAGGTTGGATATTAGGAAAAACTTTTTCACTAGGAGGGTGGTGAAACACTAGAATGCGTTACTTAGGGAGGTGGTGGAATCTCCTTCTTTAGATATTTTTAAGGTCAAGCTTGACAAAGCCCTGGCTGGGATGATTTGATTGGGGATTGGCCCTGCTTCGAGCAGGGGGTTGGACTAGATGACCTCCTGAGGTCCCTTCCAACCGTGATATTCTATGATTCTATGACCTGGGCTCTGAGATTCACGGCCGCGGGGGGTGTTTTGCAGCACAGACGGCGCACCCTCATACCCCCCGGGGGGCACGTCTGCACGGCATCGTAACCCGGGCTTGGGACTCGGTGTTTCGAAGCCTGTGCTTGAGCGTCCAAACGGACCCAGGTGGGTCTGGCGGGCCCGGCCTGGGTTGCAGGACGCAGAGCTCCCGGCTCATGTCTGCGGCTTGAGCTGCGTCCGCACGGCAGCAGGGCAAGGCTTGGCCCCCGGCTCAGCGGGACTCGGGCTCCCCCCCGCTCCCGGCGGGTGGGTCCCAGATCCTGCGGGCCGGCCGCAAGGGTCCCAGCCGGCCTTCCGCGCGGCGCGGACACCCTGGCTTTTGCGCTGCGCCCCCGCGCAGGGCCCGGCCGTGCCCGGAGCTGTCAATCAGGCGGGACTACATCTCCCACAATGCCCCGGGAGGCGGGGGGACGGGCTGGCTGCGGAGCATCTCGGCCCGGCCGGCCGGGCGCTACAGTCCGCCGGGCGGGGAGCGCAGCCCCACGGGCCGCCGGGCGCCCTGCTCCAGCCTGGCCCCGATCCCTGCGTCCCGCCCCCCGGCCAGCCCCGGGGCCAAGGGGCCGGAGGCCAGGGGGATGGCCGCAGCGGGCTCTGCTCAGGTAGGACGCTGGCCCCCCGGGGGGCGCGGCTCGCTGGAGGAACCGGCCCCACGGCTAGCCCCACAGCAGGACCCTGGGCTGGATGCTGGGGTGGGGGGTAAACAGGGAGCGCCCCCTGCCGCCGCCGGGGCAGAGACAGGACCTGTAGCCCCACGGAGCAAGGCTGGCCCCAGAGACACCGGGTTGGCCAGGGGTCTCTGCTCTGCGGGACCCAGGGGGGCAGTGGGCAAACAGCCCTGGGGCGGGGTGGGGGTGTCTGCTTTGCCAGGGCCTAGACACAGGCCAGGAGAATGACTGCAGTGGGGCCCGGCGGGACGTGGGGGTCACTGGGGGCTCTCCCCATATATAGCCCCAGGATGGGGGGGGGGTCTTTCTCTCTCACCTCCCTGTGTATTGACAAGGGAAGGGGGCTCTCTACGTAGCAGATAGGCTCGGGGTGGGAGGGTCTCTCCTCTGCCCCAGTGTGTGGCGGCTCTTTCCTCCAGTCTGGGTGTTTTAGGATGGCTTGAACAATACGCTTTGCTCCCTAGCAGAGGCCCCCGGGTAACAGGGCTACTGAAAGCGGCTCCGCCCGCAGGGAGCAGGGCATTGTAGGATGGCACGGTAATTCCTGCTTTGCCCTTGCCAGCCTGGCTCAGCAGAGCGTGCGCCGGGGGGCTGGAACAATGTGTATATTGGGGGTGCTGAGAGCCACGGAACGAAACTGTGAACCCGGGATATGATGGAAGCCACTTCCAGCCAGGGCGTGCGGCAGCATCCCCAGCACCCCTAGTTCCAGCACCTAGGAGTGTGCGGCTCTTTATTCCTATCCCTTGTCTCCGCTCTCCCCTGGTGCCTGCATTCACGGCGATGCTGCTTGGGAGACAGGGAAGATGGTTTAGGTGCAGGATTTTCCGCTCCTGAAACCTGGTCTCTGACCTGGTCACAAGCGAACTGAGTGAGGTGTCCCAGGCTGGCACCTGGCGGATGCTTGCCCTCATTATAAAACCACCTCCAGGAGACATGGTCAGACGTTTCTGGCCAGGAGAGGCCATACCAGTCGGGCCACGCCACATAGAATAAATTGCATCGCTCCCGTCCCCATTATTCCTGGCGCTGCTTGCTAATCCCTTATGGTCACGAAAGTTAAAATTGCCTCTAAAAATAACAGCTGAGAAAGGCGGGGGCAGTTCGGCAGCCTGGTGAGGACAGGCTGCTTTTGGGAAGTCATTTTAAAATGTGACTCACTCTCCTTGAAGGACACAGTAAATTCAGGCACCGAGGGCCTGGGACCCATGAGTACTACCAGCGAGGGTTGCTTGTGCAGTGTGGCTGATTCCTGGGCCAGACAGTGCAGGGCCAGCACAGAGCGTGTCTGACAGCTCAGGTTCCAGATCGAGAGTCCGATCCGGTTCTAGTTGATGTTGGGTTTTGCATGCCGCTTCTTGAATTGTTCTCTGTGCTGTCAGAAAACCACTGAGATGCTGGCCTGAAAAGAACCAAGACTTTTAATACAAAAGGCATGTTTAAAACATACTGTCCCATACAGTGACCAGGGCTTGCTCCTGCACCTCTCCCCCTTATCGCTCTCTCTGGGGCTGCGAGGTTTGCAGCGCTGTGCGTAGCTCTCCTTGCCACAGCATGATCCCTTCGCCCCGCTTCTAGCTCTCCTTGCGTTTCTCCTCTTTCACTCAGTTAGCCCATGTCTCCAGTGATTCAGGATCATTCCCCTTCCCCCACCCTTGTCCCTTTAACCTGGATCATCCCATAGCCTCCAACACAGGAGGGTTGAACCCTGGCCGGGTGATGTACGCAATGCAGAGGAGCAATCTAGAGCGGCATTACTGTGCAGTCTGACCCTTTCTCTCACTTTCCCCGTTCATAGAATCTTAGAATATCAGAGTTGGAAGGGACCTCAGGAGGTCATCTAGTCCAACCCCCTGCTCAAAGCAGGACCAATCCCCAACTAAATCATCCCAGCCAGGGCTTTGTCAAGCCTGACCTTAAAAACTTCTAAGGAAGGAGATTCCATCACCTCCCTAGGTAACGCATTCCAGTATTTCACCACCCTCCTAGTAAAAAAGTTTTTCCTAATATCCAACCTAAATCTCCCCCACTGCAACTTGAGACCATTACTCCTCGTTCTGTCATCCACTACCACTGAGAACAGTCTAGAGCCATCCTCTTTGGAACCCCCTTTCAGGTAGTTGAAAGCAGCTATCAAATTCCCCCTCATTCTTCTCTTCCGCAGACTAAACAATCCCAGTTCCCTCAGCCTCTCCTCATAAATCATGTGTTCCAGTCCCCTCATCATTTTTGTTGCCCTCCATTGGACGTTTTCCATTTTTTCCACATCCTTCTTGTAGTGTGGGACCCAAAACTGGACACAGTACTCCAGATGAGGCCTCACCGTTCTTGTCTTAACCCTTGATTTGCAGGATTACTGGATGTGTTTAAGTCTCTCAACCCACCCCAGCCACCCCCAAGACTGAAGGGCCCATCATGCATCAGGAACTAGTTACTGCCCCTGTGTCTTGCTGGACTTACTGCAGATTCAAAGCAGAGAGATTTATTGAAATAACCAGCAAGCAGTTTTGCTTTATCCTTTCCCCAGCAGCCCTTTGGAGCTCACCTCCTTGCTGTCAGTTTTCAGGTAATGCCATTACTGGCAGACGGGCCTGGTGGGGAGCGGGGAGCACACTGTGTGGCCTAGGACCAAGGGGGTTTGCCCATATCTGGATCCTACTGCAGTCCCCAGTGTGGGCTCTGGCTATCCGTGCAGCCCAAGATGTTGAGCTGGGCGGCTTGTTGTTGCAGGTGGCGTTCGAGGACGTCGCGGTCTATTTCTCCCCAGAGGAGTGGGCAGCATTAGCGGAATGGCAGAGGGAGCTGTACCGGGATGTGATGAGGGAGAACTACGAGCTGGTCACCTCGCTGGGTGAGGATCCCTTTCGCCATTCTCTCAGGAGCTGGGCCATTCTTATTTAGGTGCCTGAATATGGAGTTAGGCATCTAACTTCCGGTTTCTAAGCTTGAAAATTTGGCCCATGTACTACCCTATCATTAAACATTCCTAGCACACCATGAGTGTATGACAGGTTTCAGAGGAACAGCCGTGTTAGTCTGTACTCCCAAAAGAAAAGGAGGACTTGGGGCACCTTAGAGACTAACCCATTTATTTGAGCATAAGCTTTCATGAGCTACAGGAATGCATCCGGGTTAGTCTCTAAGGTGCCCCAAGTCCTCCTTTCCATGAGCGTATGGTGCATTCTACAGACATTCAGTGAGACACAGTCCCTGACGTTACAATCTAACATGGACCAGGTAAAACATGGGACAGTGGATCGGGTAAGGAGGCCAGTATAGGACAGATTCCTGCAGAAAGAAGATTGAGAAGTGTCTCCAGAGACTGACAGCTGGAGCAGAAGAGGTATGTAGGGGCAGCAGGACAGAAGACACGAGTCAGAAGTGGGCCAGATAGCTGGAGGTAGCACGAAGGACAGAGGAGTGTGAAATGTTTGTGCGCCATGAATTTGGAGTGGATGGATGGGTAGTACCTTTGACAATGAGGATGGAGGAGCCTTCTTCCAGATTCTAATGACATTAATGTAAATGTGAGACTTTGTTGTTCTCCATCCCTGGAACAGGGTGGCCTGCTGTCAAACCAGAGATCATATGTAAAATTGAGCAAGAAGAAGAGCCATGTGTTGGAGACCCTCCACATCCCAGAGAGTGGGGGACCCCCCAAAGCTTCTGGGCAGGTGAGTAGTAGCAGGAGAATCCCAAAGGATGGGGGAGCTAGACAGAGAAGAGTTGGACATTCGAAGGGTGGCCTAATGAACAGGGCATTGGACTGAGAGTAACATTCATTAAAGGGAATGAGGGGCTGTGATGAAGCCTGTGTGTGTTGGAAGAGCATCCTAACTCTGTTAGTGTGTCGCCAGAATTCCTCCATGGCTGGAGCCAGCTGTGACTTCCCAACAGGACTAATTAACTCATAGCCTGAGTCCCTCCCCATCCCCCACCGCTCCAGGTGCGAGAAAGTTACTGGCTTATACTGCCACTCCAGAGTTCCCGTTCCTGTGAGCTCACGTTCTGCGCTGGGGAAGCTGGGGTCAGAACCTAGGCTGAATAAAATAGAAACATGACTGGCAGGAATCCCCAGTTTATGATCTTGACTGCAGGCTGGCCGGAATGGCCGAAATGTGCTTTCTTAGGCCAGAAGAGCTCTGTTGAAATTACTGGGCTGCACCGGTACGACTGACAGCAGAATCTGTGTCTCCGCGGGGGTTCTCTTTCAGGTCGTGGGAGCCAGACCCGTTTAGGTGAATGCAGCCGGCTTCCACTGGCTATTTCTTGGGCGGTAGAAACTTGGACATGATGGGAATGTCACTATAATTTGTGGGAAGAGAGGGGATTTCCAGAGTCTCTCTGGGAACCCATTGGGATTCCCTCTGGAATGGGGGGGGTCTTGTTAAATGGGCAGTTTTTTTCCATCCTCAGCACCTGAAATAACATCTGGACTCTTCCCCCTGTCTTCTTTCCAGTAGATGATGGAATCAGGATTAAAAAGGAGGAGCAGGAGGAAGACACCGAGACCCCAGAACCTCCCAGTGCATTCTCGGGAAAGTTGGAGGAAGAGAGCAGCCCGCCGCGGTGTGTGAAGAAGAAGAGCAGCCTGGCTCAAAGCAAATCCCACCAGAAGCTGCGAAGCCGTGTGGCCAATGCTCAGGACAAACCCCCGAGGGCTCCTCCCCCAAAAGCCTCTCTAAAGAAGATTCCCCCGACGTGTCCAGAGTGCGACAAAAGCTTCAAGAGTAACACGGCCCTGACCATCCACGAAAGGAGTCACACAGGGGAGCGGCCCTTTAAATGCCCTGAGTGCGGGAAGGGCTTCCCATCCAAGGGGGACCTGAAGAGACATCAGAAAACCCACGTGGGGAAGAAGGATGCTGCCCCCGAGAGAGGGAGGAGCCTTCCTGAGAAGCTGCAGCTCCTCAGGCACCAGAGAAGCCCTCAGGCACCCAAGAGGCCGCACACGTGTGCTCAGTGCGGGAAGAGCTTCAACAAGAGCCGAGACCTCCGAAAGCACCAGCGCACCCACACGGCGGAGAGGCCGTTCCTCTGCCTGCAGTGCGGGAGCAGCTTCCGGCTCAAGCAGATCCTCGTGTCCCACCAGAAAGTGCACAGGGGAGTGAAGCCGTTCCAGTGCTCGGACTGCGGGAAGAACTTCAGCCAGAAGCACCATCTCTTGAGCCACCAGCGCACCCACACCGGGGAGAAGCCCTTCTCCTGCACTCAGTGCGGGCACAGGTTCAGCCAGAAGCACCATCTGATCAGCCACCAGCGCATCCACACGGGGGAGCGGCCTTTTGCCTGCACCGAGTGCGGGAAGAGCTTCAAGGACAAGAAAACCCTCATCATCCATGAGCGGATCCACACAGGCGAGCGGCCCTACAAGTGCAACGAGTGCGGGAAGACCTGCAGCCAGAAGCAGCACCTGAAAAGCCACCAGAGGGTCCACAGGGGCAAGAGGCCACGTGGCGAAGTGGGGGAAGGCCTGGAGGATGAGGTGGGTTTCTGCCGCCAGAAGGTCCAGGCAGAGGAGAAGCCGTATCAGTGTGCGGAGTGCGAGAAACGGTTCCGGGACGAGCGGATAATGCTGGCGCACCAGAGAACCCACACTGAGCAGGCACTGCTGAAGAGCACCAGGACAGGCGCCAGTCGGAGCCCACAGCCCGTGGTCCAGCAAAAGCCCTTCGCCAGCACCCCACAGTGCAGGGCAAACGTTAGCCAGAAGCCGCCTCTTAGAGCCCACCAGGGAACCCCGGCTGGAAAGAGACCTTTTGTGTGCAATGAGTGTGGGAAGAGGTTCGTGCAGAGCAGACACCTTGTGCGACATCAGAGGAGCCACACGTGAGAGAGAACCATTTGTGTGGGTGGAACATGGCAAACGCTCTGTCTGGGAGTTGGGATCTGACAAGATGCAGGAGTGAAGTGTCATGAGCACTAAATTAGGCAGAACTGCTCCTGTGAGACAGCATGTCTTCAGAGGCCACCAGAAGCTACCTTCCAACCTGGGTGTGCAAAAGTGACATTTATGACACACAAACTCAACTCCCCAGGCCCATCCTTGCCGTGGGACCTTGCTTAAAAACAACTGACGTGTCAGTCTCCTCTCCAGAGTACGAATTTTCTACAAGCAACTGGATTGGCCTCCTAAATGTATTGGTTGTTTGGCTGCCTAGTAAATACACTAAAATATCTTAACCAAAATATAAATAAGTGCCCCATTACCTACGTTAGCTTTCTAATTACAGTAGAACCGTGCTACTTTGCACAAGTGTCTGTGAAAATTGATGAATCTTGTAAATGAGACGCTCAGCGTATCATCAAAGAGCAAGGACGCCGCCCTGTAATGAACATGGTTCATTTATTCGGGCATGACATTTAGGTTTATTTATGCTATAGTCTATTAGGAAGTGCTCTGCGGTGTACTTTGTGAAAGTGAGGAAGTCTGAGTCGTATGAGAATTCACTGCACCACTCGATCAGATCTTGGCAGAAAATTGTGGCAAAGCTGTCTTTTTTTCATTTGTTTAGTGACGTAATTAGCAATGGTCTGCTGTGTCTGCTTTGATTTTATCCTTCCCATATAAATCACAGACCATTGTAAACTAGCAGGTATTAGCACTAAGATGCTATTCCTAGTCACATTAAAGTCCCTATGGAATGTTGCAGCATGCTGAATAAAATCCATGTTAATACACACACAAAAGCTGGGGAGGTTTTTCTCTCTAATTAATAAATTAAAAGCTTCTAAAAATGGCAGATGCCCTGTGAGGTGCATGCCATTCCTTGGCAGTCCTGCATTTCTCCTTCCACCTGGCACACTGCTCCTACCCATCCGTATCTCTCTTGTGCCCTGAACCCAAGTGTCTGGTGTGTCCATTTCCTGTCCTTTAAAGCTATTTCTCCTGCCAGTTTCCTATCACCATACAGCAGTGGATTCTCTATGCTCTTCAAGAGTTGGATCCCTTTAGGGATAATCCAGTCCCAATGATTTGACTTCAGTAGGAGTCAGAGTGGGCCCGTTGGGTGTGGGAGTGAGATCTTAGGGTGACAACCATCTCCCTGTGACTTGTGGAGGTGCCACCCGAGGCTGGACTGACAGCTGACGTCGCTGCCTCCCCAGTGTTCTCTACAAGAGAGTTAATTGGCAGGTTTTCCCCACAGAATCCATCACTTCGACCAGCGATCCTCAGACTGCAGCTCGCGAGCCACAAGCGGCTCTTTACTGTGTCTCCTGCGGCTCTTTGCAGGCCACGGTATTAACACGTGGTGTGATTGAATTATTAATCCATCAGAATACTTTTACTACGTTATTAACCAATTCGGTTGTCAGCTTGCTCTAAGTTAGTAACTTATTTGCTGTGAGAATAATTATATATAAAACCAAGCGTTCCCCCTGTCGGTCACGCTGCGGGGGCTCTTTTGGGTCAAGTTGATTGCTAATTTGGCTCCTGAACCACTAAGTTCTGAGTATCACGGGCCTAGAAACGTCAGTCCATCTGCTGCAGGTATTTCTGATGTTCAGTATTTGTGGTGGCTTCTTGCCTGGGCCCTTGTGGGTTTGATAATCATCTGGTTGCTTCAGGGAGATGTAGGTACAAAATGTAGCCTCGGTGAAGGTTTTGTAAAACCCAACAAATAAACCCACTTCCGTGTTGCTTTTTAGTTTAAATGAAACAACAGGTTTCGGGGTTCAATCCCTCCCCTGCAGGGCTGAAATCCAAACCGCAGCGGCACTGTGAGGGCAGGAAGTGAAATGGACGACAAACGGGAACGCTTCTAGCAAAGCTAGCTGTCTAGCTCCACTTCCCAAGAAGACTGAAGTGCAAAACATGAACAAAAACCAGCCTCATTCATGAGGAGCCAAAGGAGATGGTTTCATTTTTTCTGCGTTAATACTAAGAGCAGAGTTTTATGTATGTATTATGTTGACGGTTTCCCTTGAATAGGTCATGTGGCATATTCTCACTGGAGACTAGCCTGGCCATCAAAAGGCCAGCCGTCAAAAACACAGACGTCAACAAAAAAGTCTCGGTGCAGAGTGGGGTGCCGGCGGGAGGGGCTTAGCCAGGTTGGCGGGGGGCCGAGTCAGGGAACGCAGTTCTGTTCTCTGAAAGCGGATGCCTGAGTGAGGAGCCAGGCAGTGAGTGCTGCCGTGGGGATTCAGTGAATGTACCTTAGCCGCAGTTCTGCATGCTCTGTGTTGTGTGGGCCGTTCGTAACGGTGTAGCACGGTAACGGCTGTAGGTGGTCTTGCTTTTGCTTTCGCTTTCTTTTTCCTTCAAAAGAACAATTAAAATAATATAAACTTAAAGTGAGTGTGTCAGCTGGGACCTCACCAGCCATGCTCTCCGAGGGCACGCGATAAGGGCCAGGAGGTGGCTGGCGGTAGTGCAGATCCCGTTCTCTGTCCCGCACCAGGAGCCGGTGAGAGGTAATAAAGGGGAGAAGGGCTGCTTTGCAGGAGTCCAGGTCAATGTACAATGGGCATGGAGGCCAGTCCTGAAAAGTGCAGGTGGTGCCCAGGCCGAGCTCTGCAGAACAGATAAACGAGATCAGTGGTCCTCAACCAGGGGTCTGGGGCCCCCTATGGGGCCTCGAGCAGATTTCAGGGGGCCTCCAAGCAGGGCCAGCATTAGACTCGCTGGGGCCCAGGGCAGAACGCCGAAGCCCCTTTGCATGGGGCCGAAGCCCAGGCCCCTGAGCACCCGGGGCGGAAGCTGAAGCCTGAGCAATGTAGCTTCCTGGGGGCACCTGTGGCGTGGGGCCCCAGGCAAAGGCCCGGCTTGCTACCCCGTAACGCCGGCCCTAGCTTTTATATGAGAAAACCAGTTGTGGCCCAGGTGGGCCGTGGAGATTTTATAGTATATTGCAGGGGCCTCAGAAAGAAAAAGGTCTCTGACCCCCATCAGACAGACCACTCCAAGGAAAGCCAGGTGATTAACCAGACATGCTGAGCACCACTGTTCGATCAGGCAGCTTTCTATTGCACCCCTCCTATGCCGGCTGCATGGGTCCCAGGGGCCAGCGGAGCAGTGGGAATCGGTGAAGAGCTGGCTGGCTGCATGATGCTGATTTGTTCTGTTTCTAGCTTCTAGATTGCAGCTACAGCGACATCAAATATTTCCCTAGTGTTACTTTTCCATAAAGCAAATTGCTCTTGTCGTAACTGCAGTTTAGCCTGGGATCAAGCCTGGGCAGCGGTGCGAGTGGAATCCGTTTCTTACTGGTACGGAGGGAGCCATGGGGGGCACGTGACCCCCCACGTGACTCTGCCCTGCCCCCAGCCTGGGGACCCCACGCTCTCCCCGTCCCCTCCCCATGATCCACCCCCCTTACCTGGGGGCGGGGCTCTGTCCTCCTCCCGCTGCGCCTTCGGAACCACAGCGGTGAACGGAGCAGAACGTGGGGCCACGGGGCGGGGCCACGGGGCAGGGCCACGGGGCGGGGCCACGGGGCAGGGCCACGCCCGCAGCTCCTCCGGCGCGGCTGTACCGCCCCCAGCCCTTCCCCGCAGGGCCTCCTCCGTCTGAACAGCAGCCGGCCCTGCCAGAGGACAGGGCTGGGGGGTGGCCCAGCAGCCGTGCCGGAGGAGCCGGCAGCGTGGGGCCACCCAGTGCCCTGACGTTCTCCCTGCCCCGCTGCGGTCAGGGCCCGCCCAGGAACTGCAGCGGGGAAAGCAGCAGACTCCTGACAGCAATGCCGGCGGCTGTAATGCCCCTGCCCTGTCCTCCAGCCGGCCGCTGTCAGACGGAGGAGCTCTGCGGGGAAGGGCTGGGGGTGGCACAGCTGCCCGCCCAGTGCCCTGCCACGTCCTGCTGCTCCTCGTTCCGGAACGCCATACCTGCTGTAAATACCTTGCTGGTACGGCGGACCGGACCGCCCTACTTGCACTGCTGAGCCTGGGAAAAATAATGGACAAGCTGAGGAGGGATTGAGTTGATTAAAGAATTAACGGATGTGAATATAATTAATGCCAGACAGCACGGTTTTATGGAACATGGGTCTTGTCCAACAACCGGAGTACATAAGGACAGCCACACTGGGTCGCACCAAAGGTCCATCTAGCCCAGTCTCCTGTCTTCCGACCGTGGCCAGTGCCAGGTGCTTCTGGCAGTCAGAGGTTTGGTGACACCCAGAGCATGGGGTGGCATTCCTGCCCATCTTGACTAATAGCCATTGATGGACCTATCCTCCATGAACTTGTCTAATTCTTTTTTGAACACAGCTATACTTTTGGCCTTCACAACATCCTCTGGCAAGGAGTTCCACAGGTTGACTGTGCGTTGTGTGAAGAAATACTTCCTTTTGTTTGTGTTAAACCTGCTGCCTGTTCATTTCATTGGGTGGCCCCTAGTTCTTGTGCTATGAGAAGGAGTAAATAGCACTTCCTTATCTACTTTCTCCACACCAGTCATGATTTTATAGACTTCTATCATACCCCCGCAACCCCCGTCATCTCCTTTCCAAGCTGAAAAGTCCCTGTCTTATTAATCTGTCCTCATATGGAGACTATTCCATCCCCCTAATCATTTTGTTTCTCTTCTTTGCACCTAAGATATTGAATTCTTTGATGAGATTACAAATTACTATGTAAATGTTAGACTTTTGTAGGAGATTTGACTTAGTACCACATGGCACTCTTATTAAAAAATAGCACTATACAATGTCAACAGAGCACATGTTAACTGGTTTAAGAACTAGCTAACTGATAGATCTCAAAAAGTAGCCATCAATGGGGAATCAGCAGCAAATGGGGGTGTTTCTAGTGAGGTTCCACAGGGATCAGTATGAGGCCCCACACTATTCAACACTTTCATCAGTGATCTGCAAGTAAATATAAAATCCCAGTTGATAAAATTTGTGGATAACAGAGGTTGGCAGGAGGACAACAGGGCAGTCATACAGTGCAATCTGGATCACTTGCTTAAGTGCGCCCATTCAAACCAAACACATTTTACTACAGCCAAAGGCAAGGTCTTATACATTTAGGAACAAGGAACGCGGACCGTACCTACAGATGGGGGAACTGGATCCTGACTCTGAAAAGGGTCTAGGGGTGAGAGTGGACAAGAGACTGAACCCGAGCTCCCAGAGTGTTGCTGTGGCAAACAGGGCTAATGCGACCCTTGGATGTATAAACGGAGGAGTGGTGAGTGGGGCGGGGGGGGATTTCACCCTGGTACACAGCACTGGTGAGACTGATGCTGGAATACTGTGTCCAGTGCTGGTGTCCACATTTCAAAAAGGGTGTTGGGCAGAAAAGAGCCACAAAAACGACTCAGCTGAAGAAAATGTGAGAGACTGAAAGAGTTCCATCTCTTTATGGAAAGGAAGCCTGAGCAGGGACTTGGTTACAGCCTGGAAGTACCTTTCTGGGGAGAAAACACCAGGTACCTAGCAGGCTCTTTAATCCTGCAGAGAGAATCATCACAAGAACTAATGGCTGGAAGCTGAAGCCAGACAAATTCAAATGAGAAATGAGACATGAATTTACAACAGTGAGAGGCTTAACCCTGGAAACAAAGGGTCAAGGCAGTGGTGGATTCTCTAGTTCCTGATGTCTCCAGATCCAGACGGCCTGCCTTGTGGGAGATAGACAATAACATACAAGTGGCAAAGAGTCCTGTGGCACCTGATAGACTAACAGACGTATTGGAGCATGAGCTTTCGTGGGTGAATACCCACTTCGTCAGATGCATGTGACGTCTGTTAGTCTATCAGGTGCCACAGGACTCTGCCGCTTTTACAGATCCAGACTAACATGGCCACCCTCTGATGAATAACATACAAGTTATTGCATTGCATTTAGTAAAATACAAGTTACCGGGTCAATACAGAGGTAACTGGATGGTGTTTAATGGCCTGTGAGATGCATGAGGTCAGACTAAGATTGGTGGTTTTCAACCTGTGGTTCGTGGACGCCTGAGGGGGCTACAGAGTGTCTAAGATTTCCAAAGAGGCCCGCACCTCCATTCGGAATTTTTTAGGGGGCCACAAATGAAAAAAGGTTGAAAACCACTGGACTAGCTGCTTGAATGGTCCCTTCTGGCTTTAACAGTAACCAACCTTTACCACTGCTCCTGCTAGCCCCAGCTACACAGCGCTGGCCCGACTGGTGGGGGAGACAGAACCGTTCTAACACTCTCCCGATCTAGCCCTCAGTCCACTCTGACATGGCTCCACGATTCAGTCACGTCGCTCAGCCCTAGTTCTACAGGGGCCCCCCAACGCACGTTGTGCCACAGACTCCCAACAGTTGGGGAAGTTCAGAGGTGAATCTGGATCCAATCTCCACAGCTCCAGCTCGAAGTGAAATAACTCTGCTTCTCCAGCCCAGGATCTCGGGGCACTTGACAGAAGTGAATACAACGAGAGCTTCACAAGTCACCACTCTCCTCTGAGTGCTATGAGAAAGGTCAGTATTATCTCCGTTTTACAAGCGGGAAACTGAGACACAGAGAGGTGATGTGAGTTTCCCATGGTCATCCAGCAAGAGCGTGGCAGAGCCAGAAAGAGAACCCAGATGTCCTGAGCCTGGTCTTGTATCTTTAACCACGAGACCATTACGATCTCAGCATCCTGTCTCCAGAGCCTTCTACAAAGAAGGACCCTGCTGCATTTATAGTGCTGCAGCGCCCAACAGTGCAGCATGTGTGGTGGGTGCAGTCCTGCAAGGCTGGCTAAGGGAAGAGGAGATCCGGCCGCCCCTGATGCCCTCACGATGCCTAACCATATAATAATACCATCATCTTACTATTATGCATGCAACTGAGGCAGTACTATGCACCAATTAAATCTCAGGCAACCACACTAATTTTTCATACTTTCATGAAATGTCTATATGTTCATTGTGTGCGGGAGAGGTTTGTACGTGCAACCGCGGTGTGTGTTGGGGGCCCGTGGTGTGTTAACAAACCGTGGTGCATGGTTGCTTTCACTATTCTATCTGTGGGTAGCATGGATTGAAGTAGGTATTTCTGTGTGGATTTACAGGTGGCAAGATACCTGGACAGCCAAGAGTAAAGTATTCGGGTGGTTTATGGTCACTGGTGATTTGAAATTCTTTGTCATGGATGAAGAAGATTGTCTGAGATTTTCAACTTGTGTCACGAGAGGAGCAGCGTTAAGGTTGTTTTGATGTGTGTTTGCATTTGAGAGTGGTGGAAGAGGCACCTGTGTGGAATGGGGCTGGGTGAAGCTGGAACAGTCTAAAAGTTGTTGTTCTGTGAATAATACGATTTATGTTAGAATAGCACCTAGCAGCCCTAGTCATGGGCCAGGAGCTCAGTGTGCTAGGCACTGTACAAACACAGACCATAAAGACAGTCCCTGCCCCACAGAGCTGACAATCTAGGTGTAAGACAAGAGACACCAGATGGCTACACACCATGAGAATGGCCACACTGGGAATGGTCCATCTAGTCCAGTGTCCTGTCTTCTGACAAAAAGAAAAGGAGGACTTGTGGCACCTTAGAGACTAACCAATTTATTTGAGCATAAGCTTTCGTGAGCTACAGCTCACTTCATCAGATGCATCCCTGTAGCTCATGAAAGCTTATGCTCAAATAAATTGGTTAGTCTCTAAGGTGCCACAAGTACTCCTTTTCTTTTTGCAAATACAGACTAACATGGCTGCTACTCTGAAACCTGACTTCTGACAGTGGCCAGTGCCTAATGCTTAAAAGGGAATGAACAGAACAGGGCAATCATTGAGTCGTCCAGTCCCAGCTTCTGGCAGTCAGAGGTTTAGGGACACCCAGAGCATGGGGTTGCATCCCTGCCCATCCTGGCTAATAGCCATTGATGGACCTACCCTCCAGGAACTTATCTAGTTCTTTTTTTAACCCCATTATGGTTTTGGCCTTCACAACATCCTCTAGCAACGAGTTCCACAGGTTGACTGTGTGTTGTGTGAAAAAATATTTCCTTTTGTTTGTTTTAAACCTGCTGCCCCATTAATTTCATTGGGTGGCCCCTCGTTCTTGTGTTATGAGAAGGAGTAAATAACACTTCCTTATTCACTTTCTCCACTCCATTCATGATTTTATAGTCATAGAATATCAGGGTTGGAAGGGACCTCAGGAGGTCATTTGGTCCTCTATCATATCCCCCCTTAGCCGTCTCTTTTCCAAGCTGAAAAGCCCCAGTCTTATTAACCTCTCCTCATACAGAAGCTGTTCCATTCCCTTAATCATTTTTGTTGCCCTTCTCTGCACTTTTTCCAATTCTAATATCTCTTTTTTGAGATGGGGCGACGAGAACTACATGCAGTATTCAAGATGTGGCCATACCATGGATTTATATAGAGGCAATATGCTATTTTCTGTCTTATTAGCTATCCCTGTCCTAATGGTTCCCAACGTTCTGTTCACTTTTTTGACTGCCACTGCACATTGAATGGCTGTTTTCAGAGAACGATCCACAATGACTCCAAGGTCTCTTTCTTGGGTGGTAACAGCTAATTTAGACCCCATCATTTTATATGTAGAGTTGGGATTATGTTTTCCAATGTGCATTACTTTGCATTTATCAGCATTGAATTTCATCTGCCATTTTGTTGCCCAGTCACCCAGTTTCATGAGATCCCTTTGTAGCTCTTCGCAGTCTGCCTGGGACTTAACTATCTTGAGTAGTTTTGTATTGTCTGCAAACTTTGACACCTCACTGTTTGCCCCTTTTTTCCAGATCATTTATGAATATGTTGAACAGCACAGACCCAAGTACAAATCCTTGGGAGGCCCTGCTATTTACCTCTCTCCACTGTGAAAATTGACCATTATTCCTACTCTTTGTTTCCTGTCTTTTTTTCAGTTACTGATCCACGAAAGGACCTTCCCTCTTATCCCATGATAGCTTACTTTGCCTAACAACCTCTTGTGAGGGACCTTGTCAAAGGCTTTCTGAAAGTCCACGTACACTATATCCACTGGATCACCCTTGTTCCCATGTTCGTTGACCCCCTCAAAGAATTCCAATAGATTGGTGAGGCATGATTTCCCTTTACAAAAGTGGTGTTGGTTCTTCCCAACAAATCATGTTCTTCTATGTGTCTGATCATTCTGTTCCTTACTGTTGTTTCAACCAATGTGCCTGGTACTGAAGTTAGGCTTACTGGCCTGTAATTGCCAGGATCGCTTCTGGAGTCTTTTTTAAAAATTGGTGTCACATTAGCTGTCCTCCAGTCATCTCAGTGATAGGTTACATACCATAGTTAGCAGTTCTACAATTTCAAGTGTGAATTCCTTCGAAACTCTTGGGTGAATATCATCTGGTCCTGGTGACTTATTACGCTTAAATTTATCAATTTGTTCCAAAACCTCTTCTATTGACACCTTAATCTGCAACAGTTCCTCAGATTTATCACCTGCAAAGAATGGCTCAGGTGTGGGAATCTCCTCACATCCTCAGCTGTGCAGACAGATGGAAAGAATTCATTTAGCTTCTCCTCAATGGCCTTGTCTTCCCTGAGTGCTCCTTTAGCACCTCGATTATCCAGTAGCCCCACTGCAGGCCTCTAGCTTCTGATACACTTTTTAAAAATTGCTGTTAATTTTTGTGTCTTGCTAGTTGTTCTTTAAATTCTTTTTTGGCCTGACTAATTATACTTGCCTGGCCAGAGTTTATGCTCCTTTTTATTTACCTCACTAGGATTTGACTTCCAGTTTTTAAAAAATGCCTTTTTGTCTCTAACCACCTCTTTTACTCTGGTGTTTCACCATGGTGTCATTTTTTATTTTTATTTTGGTCCTCTTACTGCTTTTTTTTATTTGGGGTGTGTAGATATAGTTTGAGCCTCTATTATGGTGTTTTTTTAAAAAGTTTCCATGCAGCTTGCAGGCATTTCACTCTTGTGACAGTTCCTTTTAATTACCGTTTAACTAGCCTCCTCGTTTTTATGTAATTCCCCTTTTTTTAAGTTGAATGATACTGTGGTGAGTTTCTTTGGTATTTTCCTCCTACTAGGATGTTAAATTTAACTACATTATGGTCACTATTACTGAGCAGTTCAGCTCTATTCATCTCTGGGACAGATCCTGTTTGCCACTTAAGACCAAATCAAGAATTGCCTCTCTCCCCTTGGGGATTCCAAGACTAGCTGCTCTAAGAAGCTGTCGTTAATGGTGTCTAGAAATTTTGTCTCTGCATCCCGTCCTGAGGTGACATGTGTCCAGTCCATATGGGGACAGCTGAAATCCCCCATTATTGTTGGGTTTTCTGTTTTTGTAGCCTCTCTAATCTCCCTGAGCATTTCACAGTCACTAACACCATCCTGGTCAGGTGATTGGAAGTATATTCCTACCGCTATATTCTTATTACTAGAGCTTGGAATTTCTATCCATCGAGATTCAGTCTGATTCATTTAAAGATGTTTACTATATTTGACTCTATGATTTCTTTCACATACAGTGCCACTCCCCCACCCGCATGACCTACTCTTTCCTGCCTGGTCTTTACTAGAGGTCTTCCTTAGTGGAGTTAGACGTGACTGGACCTTAGCCCTTAACTGAGAGCTTGCTCAGCTCTTCACTGAAAGGGCCAAAGAGCTTTTCTCCACAGTGGGTTTCAGGGGCTCAGTTAAACAGCTGTTACCAAAACCAGATCATAGCCTGTTAACCGGTTTGAATAAAACTCCTTCCTCTTTCCATTCCCCACTTTCGCTTCCTTGGTGTTTTGATGCCATCGCCCGGCGGCGCGCCCAGGACCACAGGGCCGGCCAGCCCGACTGCACAGTGTCCCGCCAGCAGAAACACGCCTCGGGCCTCCTGCTCCCTCCCAGAGAAGCGAGACACGTGCACAAGCCCCGCTCCCCCGGGGCAGGTCCCCCTCGGGGCTGTGTGGAAGCCGCGGGCGGGTACGAGGTGGGCCGGAGGCGCCTTTCCCCGCTGCAGCAGCCCCGTCCCCAGGCGGGCGCTTGCGCTGCGGAGGGCCCCGGGGTGCGACCCTCGCTCTGGGTGCGGGGCCCTGCTCGGGCCGAGCCCGGCGAGCTCCGGGGCCAGGCGGGGGGAGGCGGCGCCGCGCTACGGGCTGCCGGGAGCTGTAGTTTTTTCTCCCTCCCGCAGCAGGGGGATGCCCGGTCCCCCCGCGCGGCTCCCCGGGAGAGCCGGAGACCTGCGCGCCCGAGCTCCGGCTGCGCCCCGGGCCCCGCTGCCCCGCGCGCCCCGCGCAGCGCATCCTGCGCCCGGACCGCTCCCAGCCGGGGGCGCGCCGCCCGTGGAGCCCGGCGCTCGCCCAGCTTGGTCCCGACGCGCCTGCCCGGCCGAGCCCGGGGGACGATGCCGCGCGGGGGCCGGGCGCAGGTAGGCGCCGGCTTGGCCCGGCTCGGGGCGCAGGGAGCGGGGCGCTGCGCTCCCGGGGCCAGCTGCGCAGCGGTAGCGCGGTGACAATGGGAGCCCGGGGCCGAGCCGGGCCGGGCCGGGCCAACAGCCCTGCCCGCGGTCTGTAGCCACCTTAGGGACCGCAGCCCGTGTGTGCCCCGCCCGGCCCGGCCCGGCCCGGGGGCGCTGGGTGGCTGAACCCGGCTGGGGCTCGGCTCTCGGGGCCGGCCCGCTGTGGGTGGGGGCCCCGGGGGCGGGGGGGCAGTGTCCCCGCAAGCCCAGGGGAAGCCGAGACCGAGGGGCAGGGGGGCGCTGGGGGATCCGCGTTGGGCTCCCTCGGTTTAGCCTCGTATTACGGCCCCGGGGAAGGGGGTAGAGGGCAGGGAAGCCGCAGCCTGCTGTTCCCGGACCCGCCGGGCCGGCTGCGGGGAGGACAGAGACAGGCCAGGCCCTGGGGACATACAGCTAACAAGGCTGCGCCTGGGAAACGGCAGGGGATCCCCCCTGAGACCCCAAACTTTCATGGGCAGGGGGCGGCTTGGGACCCCTCCGCGCCAGCAGAGGCCGAGGGGTGCCCTGGGCAGCAAATTGGACAGGGACGTGCCATGGCTAGGGGGGCCCTGGCAGGAAAGGCCAGTGCTGTTTGGAGCTGCATCTGCAGAGGCCTCCGGTCTGGGAGCCGAGGAAGGGGCCGTGCACCCCTTCGTGGATCGGGTGGGGTCGTGCTGGGCGCCGCGCCAGGGAGACCCCCTCCGAGAGTCCCACAGAAGCAACAGCAAATTATTCAGAGGCTGAAGGAAAGATTTTAATGCACGAAGTCGGGTGTGTGGAAAGGACGACGGAGGAGGGAAACGTGGTGCAGAGTGTGGGCCTGAGGCAGGAAGAAGTGTTCAGACGGCACCAAGACAATCTGGATTCACAGGCCCCAGGGGCTTCTCTACGGACGAGAAAGGGCTCTTTGATCTAAAGGCAGAAGGAAAGCCAGTGGCTGGACGCTGAAGGTCGGTCGATACATTCAGGCTAGAAATAAGATGCAATTTCTGAGCAATGTGGCAATTAACCAATGGAATAATTTACCAAGGGACGTGATGAATTCTCCATCACTTGAAGTCTTTAAATCAAGACTGGATGGCTTTCTAGTAAATATGCCCTAGCTCAACCACAAGATATGGGCTTGATGCAGAAATCACTGGGAGAAGTTCTCTGGCCTATGTTGTGCAAGAGATCAGGCTAGATGATGAGACTGGTCCCTTCTGGCCTTCCAAATGATGAATCTATGAAAAAATCCTGCCCAAGAAACTCAATGGCTTTTTAAAAACCAATGACTAGCCATAGGGGATGAAGTAGTTATAAATCCAGTTGCATTTTAGTTGAGAGTGTGAAATCTTAGGTGAAAAATTAATTTGCAATGACTCATCTAGAAGCACACATCGTGTGGACAGAAAACTGCCTTGAACCCCGCAAACATAGGGCAGTGATAAGCCCTAGTGCATTGGTAGGGACTTCTGAAATTAGACCTTTAGGCTGAGATTTTCAAAACTGCCTATGGGATTTAGACCCAGAGTCCCCACTGGGAGCGGTGTGCCTCCATGAGATGCACCAACAGGAGAATCGTCTCCATGAGGGAAGTGCTGGAAGCCCTGGGGCTCGGCACATTTCAAACTAACTTAGGCAAAGCCCTAACCAGCATCGCCGGGTCACTCCTGCAGCCCTTACTGGTGAGAACTCCCCTGGATTTCAGCGGTAGTTTTGTCTGAACCCAGGCTGCAGAATCTGCCCAGCGTGGTGGCCAAGACTGGACTGGCAGAGGAGGCCAGGTGCTACACAACCTCATTTCTGTTCATTTGTGTGGCCGTGCAGGATGATTTGTACACATATAAATTAGAATGAGGTTGATACTGTGGCTCTGAGTCTGTGTCCCGCTGTCTCTTGTGTGGTCATTTACACCTGGGCCAAGTGGGCGTGTAAAGCCACGCGGTCGGAGCAGTTCCATCTTATGCCCATTGTGCACTCCCTTTGCAAACGGTTACACTGGGGCAAGGCAATGCAGAGTCGGACCCTGGGCCTGGCAGAGATTCTGCGGGCTGATAAGCTTTCGTGAGCTACAGTTCACTTCATCAAATGCATCCTGCTGATCATGAATAAAGAGGGATGTTTGCTCCGAAACACTCAGGCTGGAGGGACGATCTTCGGGAAAAGTCCAAAGTATTAAAAAAATAAATACTGCAGCTGATCAGGAAGGGCCAGAGATCTTGATGCAGAAACATTTATGGAACCAAATTCCCTTTGCACAGAATCAAAAGAATTATTTGAAAGCTGCCAGGTCCCTTTGCTGTGCTCAACTGCAGATATGGATCAAGGAGGCAGTGAGCTTAACCAAACGGTTCTGAGGTGGGCACCGTGTGGACGAAGCCCTGACACTAAGCAGAAATGCTAATGGAGCGGTGTTTCCATAGAGCGCCCAGCCCCAGGGGTACCTGGAATGGGCCCTCCTGTTACAAGAAAGGGAGGTGCGCAGGCCCTTGGGTGGAATTCCCTGGGCCTTGCCTTGTCATGGACGCTTGTGGAAAGTGGATGCAAACCACGGCCACACTGCTGGGAGCTGGAAGTCGTCTTTCCTTGTGGGCTTTTCCCCTCGCTTGATTGAACCACTCTAAAGCCCATGTCTGGGGCCCTCAGCAGCCCAGAAGGTCTCCGGCAGTTTATTTGCTGGGCTGGGGCCTGGACCAGCCAGGTTAAACAGGACACAAGTGGGGTGAACCTGGCCATTCATTAATATATGAAGGGCATTTTGGAGGCAGCCGCTGCTATTGTTAATATTTCCGAGAGGGCAGTGCTCACAATGCGCCGGGCACCGTGCACACAGAGAGGAGGAGATGGGCCATGTCTAAAAGGCATGCTGTGAACCCTTATCAGCCCCCTTTGTGGCATGGTTGATGTAATGTTCTCCCCTGTAACTCATGGAGTTCCAGCACTTGTGAGCCTGCTTCTGACCTGCTGTGTTTTCTAACCCGGTCGATCCGTGCGTAGCCGACGTTGTTTCTGATCAGACACACGTGTAAAACGGCCTCGGTTAGCGCTGTGACTCAGACACATGGAATATCCCCCGTCTGGATGGCAGTCAGGGCTGCCGGTGGTGGGAGGTACTGAATGGGGCCACTTGTTTTGCAGGTACCGGTGGCATTTGAGGACGTCGCCGTCTATTTCTCCCCGGAGGAGTGGGCGGAGTTAGCAGAATGGCAGCGGGAATTGTACCGAGATGTGATGAAGGAGAATTACAAGCTCATCGCCTCTTTGGGTAAAGAGACACTTCTCCTCATGTTACCGAGAGCTGCGTGGTCTGTGTAAGGCTGGTTCCTGGCACTTTCAAGGATTCCCTCTCTCCCAAGAGTGGTAAAGGATTGTTATCCTGAAAGTTCGCAGACCCTTGGCAAATAGAAATGCAAAGAGCATTGTTCTTATGGAATTAATTTGCAGGTGCCCAGGAGAATCGGGAGCTCCTCCCACCCTCCCCAAAGAGGAGAGTTTCAGGCCCCAAAACTCATATATTCAATCCCCCCAAACTCAGACCTGTGGAGCTGAGGTCCCTCTACGTATCCCTTACAAGAGCATCAGTGTCACAATTGAAACACAAACGTCACAAAACCAGGAAATGCAGAGTTCAGGGGACACTTCCCACACAGCCTTAACTCTGCCCTGTGAGGGGGACCAGCACCTTGTTGTTTTAGGGGTGGGGAATATTTTTCCCCTGAGAGACCTGGGTAAAGTACAAGAAAGTAATTAGGAGAAATCCCCATTGCATCATTAGCCCCTTTACATTGTGATTGTGCAGCAGGAAAGAAGGAGGCGGGGTTCAGTGCGATCTCCATCAGCCAGCAATCCAGTAGTGCTGCCCCACCCTCGTGGAGAGGAGGCCTGCACGGGAGTGGGGCCAGGCCCAGAGATAGGGCAGGTTTCGTTGGCGAGAGGGATACGGTATTGTCATGCTCCAAGTGCCTCTTGGCATCCCAAAGGGGCAGCGTTCGAGGGATGTTTCTGACACTGATTATAAAGAGAGGTTCTTATATTTCTCAGGCCACGTCTACACGATAAAATTAAGTCAATCTAACGCACACCGATGTACAGCCGCTGCAGTAATCTCCGCGCTTGTGTCAACACTTGGCTCCTTGCGCCAGCGGGGCGTGTCCGCACCAGGAGCACTTGGGTCAGTTGTGCTGTCAGCGTGGGGCATTATGGGAAGGCTCCTGAAACCAGTGACAACACGGTGTCTGCACTTGACCTGACTACATCGACCTTGACGCTACGCCACTCGTGGAGGTGGAGTTATTAAGTCGGCGTAGTGGGACAGTTACATTGCGGAGCAAAATTTTAGTATAGACCAGGGGCTTAAACTCAGCCAGAGCCCACCAAAGCAGAGCTCCAGTAAACATTTTCAGACCCACGGAAGCCCCAGCACCTCCCATGGGGCTGAAGCCCTGAGCCTGGCGCCTGCCGCGGGGCTAAAGCCCCAAGCCCCCTGCACCTCCCCTGCAGGGCTAAAGCCCCAAGCTCCTGCACCTCCTCCCACGAGGCTAAAGCCCCAAGCCCCAGCATCTCCTCCCGCTGGGCTAAAGTCCCTGCCCCCCCTGCCCCCCACAGGGCTAAAGCCCCAAGTCACAGCACACCCCGTGGGGCTGAAGCCCCGAGCCCCGGCACCTCCTCTCATGGGGCTAAAGCCCCAAACCCCCGCGGCTCCCCCGCAGGGCTAAAGTCCTGAGACCCCCTGCTACGCAGCTGAAGCCCCTAATGAGGGTGGGGGGAGCCGGGAGATAATCTCTGAGAATTGAAGCCTTGGTGTGGACCCTTCCATAATTAGGGGGCGTAAGCTGCCTTGTGTCAACCCAGCTCTCTAGTGTAGACCAGGCCTCAGTAATGTAAGTTCAAAGCTACTTCGAATGCTGGCCAGTTCCCTGCCTCTCCCCACTCTGAAACATCCCCCTCGTGACTACAAATAACCAGCTTAGGTTAAAATCAGTGTGTGGCTGTCGCTGGCAGGTGTGCCGTCTGTGTAGTCACCTGGGCCAGTCATTGGGGAGTCACCAAAACAAACCCAGACAGCTTAGCCAGAGTCCATGAAAACCCTCCTGTCTGTTGCTGGCATGCTGAGCTTTGCTGGAGTGTGTCACCCTCCAGGGAGACACGGTGGGTGAGGTAATATTTTATTGGACAAACTTACTCATACTAAGTTTGCCAGTCCCGAGGAAGGGCTCTGTGTAGCTCAAACGCTGGTCTCTGTCACCAGCAGAAGTTGATCCAATAAAAGATATTCTCACCTACCTTGTCTCTCTACTATCCTGGGACCGACACGGCTACCACAACACTGCATGGCCCTCCCGTGTCATTTACAATCCAGGTCACTGTCGGACTCGCTGCCTTTCAGGACCCAGAGAGGGTTTCAGGAATTAAGAAGCAGCTGGGGAAAGCCACTCACCCTATATGATCAGGGGGATGGAACGGCTTCCGTATGAGGAGAGATTAATAAGACTGGGACTTTTCAGCTTGGAAAAGAGACAACTGAGGGGGGATATGATAGAGGTCTGTAAAATCAGGAATGGTGTGAAGACAGTGAACAAGGAAGTGTTATTTACTCCTTTTCATAACACAAGAACTAGGGGCCACCAAATGAAATAAACAGGCAGCAGGTTTAATACAAACAAAAGGCAGTATTTCTTCACACAACACACAGTCAACCTGTGGAACTCATTGCCAGGGGATGTTGTGAAGGCCAAAAGTATAACTGGGTTAAAAAAAGAACTAGATCAGTTCCTGGAGGGTAGGTTCATCAGTGGCTATTAGCCAAGACAGTGAGCGACGCAACCCCATGCTCTAGGTCAGTGGTCTCCAAAGTGGGGTGCGCGCACCCCAGGGGGTGCACAAGACGATAGATTGGGGGGCGCAGCAGGAGGAGCACCGCCGGAGCGGGAGAGAAAAAGGGGGCGGCCCTGAGTCCTCCGGCCCGTGGAGCAGCAGGGGCAGCCGCGCAGCCAGCGGCCGGAGAGAAGCGGGACTCTGAAGGGGAAAGCGCCGCTTCTCTCCGGCCACTGGCTGCGGGGCTGCCCCTGCTCCTCCCGAGTCCTCGGGCCCGTGCTCGCAGGGCCGCATTCGAAAGGGGCTTGAGAGCTGCAGGCCAGGGCCCCGGGGCCCCCTTAGCCCAGGGCCCTGAAGCCCCTAAAGCCCCTGTGTTCCAGGTGGCCCTGCCTGCCGGGGGGGGGGGGGAGAGCTCCCAGAATCACGGCTCCCAGAATCGTGGCCATGGGGGGGGGGGTGCTGCACTGCGCAGAGCCACCTGCACCCCCCCTGCACCAACAGGAGCTGCCCCAGGTAAGTGATCTGCACCCCCTGCCTGCCCCAGCCCTGAGCCTCCTCCCGCACCCCCCCGAGCGCCCTCCCAGACCCCGCGCCCCACCCCGAGCGCCCTCCCGCACCCTAACTCCCTCCCAGACCCCACGCCCCCCCCGAGTGCCCTCCCGCACCCTAACTCCCTCCCAGACCCCGCGCCCCACCCTGAGCGCCCTCCCGCACCCTAACTCCCTCCCAGACCCCGCGCGCCACCCCGAGCGCCCTCCCGCACCCTAACTCCCTCTCAGACCCCGCGCCCCACCCCGAGCGCCCTCCCCCACCCTAACTCCCTCCCAGACCCCGCGCCCCACCCCGAGCGCCCTCCCGCACCCTAACTCCCTCCCAGACCCCGCGCCCCACCCCCGAGCGCCCTCCCGCACCCTAACTCCCTCCCAGACCCCGCGCCCCACCCTGAGCGCCCTCCCGCACCCTAACTCCCTCCCAGACCCCGCGCCCCACCCTGAGTGCCCTCCCTGTCACGGAGTCCCCGGGCGATGCTCTGGAACTGCTCCCCATGAAGTCAGGCAGGACTCTGGGGCAGTCGCCTTCCTGTGAGCAGCCTGTCTGGAGGACACACAGCTCACACAGCTTCCACCTTCCTGGGTCTGACCTCGGAGCATTCAGCCTCCTCTGCCCCTCCGTGCGCTTCCCACAGCGAGTCCGCTCAGGTGGGGTCCTGGGGAAGCCAGAGGGTCCTGCCCCCCAACTCCGCAGTCAGACGGGACTCTCAGCCAGCCAGTAAAACAGAAGGTTTATCAGATGACAGGAACATGGTCTAAAACAGAGCTTGTAGGTGCAGAGAACAGGACCCCTCAGCTGGGTCCATTTGGGGGGGCAGTGAGCCAGACAACCCCGTCTGCACTTCACTCCATGTCCCAGCCAGCCCCAAACTGAAAACTCCCTCCAGCTCCTCATCCTCTGGGCTTTGTCCCTTTTCCCAGGCCAGGTGGTCACCTGATTTCTTTGTTCTCCAACCCTTTAGCTCTCACCTTGCAGGGGGGAAGGGCCCAGGCCATCAGTTGCCAGGAAACAGGGTGTCGGCCATTCTCTGTGTCCAGACCCCTGCACACACCTGCTCTCTAGGGCTCTGCAATGATCATACACCCTTACCCCACCACCTAGATACTTAAGAACTGCATAGGGGAAACTGAGGCACCCCCACAATATTCGGAGGAAACATTAAGAACAGTCCCGCTTCATCACACTCCCACACTCTAACTCCCTCCCAGACCCCGCACTCCACCCTGAGCGCCCTCCCGCACCCCAACTCCCTCTCAGACCCCACGCCCCAACCCTGAGTGCCGTCCCGCACCCTAACTCCCTCCCAGACCCCGCGCCCCAACCCTGAGCGCCCGCTGTATCACAAAGTGTTAAACCAAGATTTTCAAAAATAATAAAGCGTATTCAATCACATTGCTCTCACTAAAAATATTATTATTAATAATAAACTTGTTTTAGTGACAGCAAAAAGTTTTTTTATACCGTTAATAAATAAAATAAAAAATTATTTAAAAAATATTGTTTATTTCATCTTTATCTCATCATTTTTTAATTTCTATGTTTTGTGTATGTTTTATCATTTATACACTATATCAGTACAGTAGTACATGTCTATAATTTATACATAAATAAATATACATATATTGGGGGTGCTTGCTAAAAATTTTTACTGATGGGGTGCACGATCAAAAGTGTTTGGAGACCACTGCTCTGGGTGTCCCTAAGCCTCTGACTGCCAGAAGCTGGGAATGGGCGACAGGGGATGGATCACTTAATAACTGCCCTGTTCTGTTCGTTCCCTCTGGGGCACCTGGCACTGGCCACTATGGGAAGACAGGAGACTGGGTGAGATGGACCTTTGGTCTGACCGTTCTTATGTTCTTCTGAGCCCGTCTCATTGACCTGTGGTTTTTGCCTCCTGCACAGGGTGTCGGGGTGCCAAACCAGAGATCATCTGTCAGATGGAGCGTGGGGAGGAGCCATGTGTGGGGGAGCCCCAGGGCTGGAGAGAGAGGAGACCCCAGAGCCCCTGCTCAGGTGAGTCAGGAAGGAAACACCCTAAGAACACAGCCCATCCCATGACTCTTGTTTAGTGTTAGGAGTTTGCCTTTGTTCCAGCGGACGAAGTGATGTCTGGACTCTCTCCTCTCTCCAGCAGGTGTTGGCAGCACCGTTAAAAAGGAGGAGCAGGAAGAGGGATGTCTTGGTCAGGAAGATCCCGAAGCACCGGCACCACCAGGGACCGTGTCCGGAATAATGGGGGAGAAAGGTCTCCAGCTCTTGGGACTAAAGAGCTGCAAGAGCGAAAGCTTGTCCCGCCGGAAGCAAAGAACCCAGGCCGGAGACCCTCAGGGAAGACGAACCGGGAGGGTGCTAGAGAGGCCTCATGCATGCCTGGACTGTGAGAAGAGCTTCAAGGACAAGACGGCTCTGATAATCCACCAGCGGATCCATACGGGCGAGAAGCCCTTTCCCTGTGCTGAGTGCGGGAAGCGCTTCACACAGAAGCAGCACCTCACCACCCACCAGCGCACCCACACCGGGGAGCGCCCCTTCTCCTGCGCCCAGTGCGGCAGCAGCTTCCGGCTGAGGAAGGTCTTCCTGACCCACCAGCGGGTCCACGCCGGGGAGCTGCCCTTCACCTGCGGCGAGTGTGGGAAGATCTTCAACCACAAGCACCACCTGATCACGCACCGCCGCACCCACACGGGCGAGCGCCCCTTCCCCTGCACCCAGTGCGGCAAGCGCTTCACCCAGAAGCACCATCTGCTGAGCCACCAGCGTAGCCACACGGGCAACCGGCCCTTCTCCTGCGCCCAGTGCGGGAAGAGCTTCAAGGACAAGACGCCGCTGAGCATCCACCAGATCGTGCACACCGGGGAGAAGCCGTTCTCCTGTGAGGCTTGCGGGAAGATTTTCAGCCACAAGCACCACCTGGTGATCCACCGGAGAACCCACACCGGGGAGAAGCCCTTCACCTGCGCCGAGTGCGGCAAGCGCTTCACGCAGAAGCACCATCTCGTCAGCCACCAGCGCATCCACACCGGGGAGCGCCCCTTCGCCTGCTCCCACTGCGGGAGGAGCTTCAAGGACAAGATCACCCTGAAGCTGCACGTCAGGCTGCACACCGGGGAACGGCCCTTCGCCTGCGCCGAGTGCGGGGAGCGCTTCCGCCTCAGGAAGGTGCTGCTCACCCACCAGCGGGTGCACACGGGGCAGGCCCCGCTGATATGCACCGAGTGCGGGAAGAGCTTCAATCACATGCAGCGCATGGCCATGCACCAGACGAGCCACCACACCCAGCCGGGGCCGTTCCGGAGAGCTCAGCGCAGGGAGAGCTGCTCGGGGAAACCACAGCTCCTCGTGCACCCGCAAGGCCAGCCCGCTGGCTGCTCGGCACACACAGCGACCTTCCAGCCGCACGCACCTGGGGGTTCCCCCTGCCGAACAGGCAGAGAAAGTCCTGGGCCTGACAAACCACCTTCTGCACAATTATACACGGAGCTGGCCCCGCGGGATCGCCCAGAAGAAACCATCTGACTGCTGGGAGCAGGGAAAGCGTCCCTCACGAGCGCAGTCTGAACACCCCCCGCCCCCCTCCCCGGTCCTGTGTGATGGGTGTCGTTAATCCAGCGCTCGCCCTCTGCAGCCCGGCACCGGCGTGAGACAGAAACCAAAGACAGCCAGGCTGTCCCTGAGTTTTCCTGTAAACGGTCAGCGCTCGTCAGCGGGAGAGACGCTTCGCCCTCAAAGGGGGCTGCGGAGACTTGCTTAGGGCTGCGTCTACCTGCATCAGGCAGCCAAGGAGCGTCCTGGTGGCCGGCGTTCCGCCTGCCCTGCCTGAGACCCAGCAGAGCGAGAAGGAAAATATTTAGCACTTATGCAGCAGATTAGCAGCCAGCTGCCCAGTGAGAGACACATGGAGGGCTGCGGAAAGTGGGAGTCTCTGTTGTAGGACATGCGCGGACAGAGGTGTCACAGCGTGGTAGAACTAGAGATGGACAAGCCCTGTTAGGTCATTCGGTCCCTCTCCCAGGGGCTAGCATTGGATTGTTTCCCTTCAGCACATCTCCAGCCCCTTGTCCAGTCCAGTTCCAAGCGGTGGGGCTCCCACCCCGTCCCTTGGCTGACACCCCCATGCCAATGCATCTCGCTGCCAGGAAATTACTCCTGATATTCAGTCCACGGCTTGTCTTTCTCTGTTACATCCCATTCTTCCTAGTCATGCCCAGGTGCCAGTCGTAAATAATCATCCCTCTTTGGTTTGTACGCTCCACGTATCCATAGACTGTCAAAAGATACTGTTAAAGCAGGGCTGTCGCTCAATCACAGTTAACTCATGCGATTAACTCAAAACAAATTAATTTGATTAAAAAAATTAATCGCGATGAACTGCCGTTTTAATCGCACTGTTAATAATAGAATGCCAGTTTAAAGTTATTATAACTATTTTGGATGTTTTTCTATATTTTCAAATATATTGGTTTCAGTTACAACACAGAATACAAAGTGTACAGCGCTCACTGTGAAAAAGAAACAAAAGAAATGGTATTTTTCAATTCACCTCATACAAGTACTGTCATGCAGACTCTATTGTGGAAGCATGTCCTCTGAAATGGTGGTCAAAGCATGAAGGGGCATACGAATTTTTAGCATTCTGGCATGTAAATACCTTGCAATGCCGGCTACAAAAGTGCCATGCAAACGCCTGTTCCCACTTTCAGGTGACGCTGTAAATAAGAAGCAGGCAGCATTATCTCCTGCAAATGTAAACACACTTGTTTGTCTGAGCGATTGGCAGAATAAGAAGTAGGACTGAGTGGACATGTAGGCTCTAAAGTTTTACATTGTTTTATTTTTGAGTGCAGTTATGTAAAATAAACAATTCTACATTTGTAGGTTGCATTTCACAATTAAGAGACTGCACTACAGTGCTTGTGTGCGGTGAACTGAAAAATTCTATTTCTTTTGTTTTTTTCAGTGCAATTATTTTAAATCAAAAATAATAATATAAAGTGAGTTCTGTACACTTTGTAGTCTGTATTATAATTGAAATCAGTATATTTGAAAATGTAGAAAACCTCTAAAAATATTTAAATAAATGGTATTCTAGTATTGTTCAATAGTGCAATTAAAATTGCGATTAATTGCAATTATTTTTTTAATCTGACAATCATGATTAATTTTTTTTAATAGTTTGACAGCCCTGTAGTAAAGCTATGGCTTAGAAGTCAGCGTGCCGGAGAAATCCCTGTGGGGGAGAGGTTCACTGGAGGCTAAGCTGCCCCCCCAGCCTGCTCCCTCGGGCACCGTGGGGCACTTTGGAACTTTGACAGGTGTCTGGACCCTGCCCCTGGAGGCCCATCTTCCTGCTCTTGCTGTCCTGCCCTTTGCAGTTGGGTTGCACCAGCTCTGGGAGGCTCCGCTTCCCCTTGGATGCTGGGGTGGAACCGTGCCCGGGGCAGAGAGACCAGCCACCTGTCTCGCCACCCGTCTCCAGTGGAGGGGTCAGCCCTGGGGACGGAGGAAGAACGCATGCCAGCCAACTGCAAGTGCGGCAGCAAGGCCGGTGGGCAGGAGGGACCTATGGGAGAGCAGGATCCCAGGCCATTCCGGTCTGGTTAATGGTGCTCAGACACCAGAGGGACGAGCCCCACGTAATACCAGGCAAGAGAGAGCAGGAATTGAATTACCCCCAGAAGCCAGCTGGTAGCCAGTGAGTGGCCCAGAACACTGATGCGTTGGGCCCCAGTTGCAAGCTGGGGGGCTGCATTCTGCGCTAGCTGCAATGTCGGATGATCCTCCATGCTCGCCCTGCCTGGAAGCGATTAATTACCCGTCACCGGGGTGAGGTCTGCGCCAGAGCAGAACGGCGCAGCCTCCTGACAGACGTTCGGCTCGGCCCTGAGAGACACCCGAGCACTCCCCAGCGTGTGAATCGTGAGACGGGTCAGGCAGTACCAGGTTTACCATGGCGCCACGGCGCTGGGCCCCCCCACACACACACACTCAGAAGGGCCCATAACCACAGCCCTGGCATCTCGATGGCGGGTCCCACCCCCAGGCTGGATGGGATACAGGACCAGGCCCAGCTGCTTCCATTGCAGACACAGAGAGAGAGAGAGAGAGAGACCTCCCCACCCGCCTCCACCGGCCCAGCCCCCTATGGGACCCCCACAACCCAGCCCCACAGAGACCCACTGCCCCCAGCCCCACAGAGAGAGAGGGACTGGCCCCCCGGGACCCCTAGCCTGTCCCACCATACACAGAGCTCCCAATGACACCTCCCCACACACAGCTCCTGGGACCCCCCAGCCCAGCCCCACAGAGAGAGAGAGAGAGAGAGACCACCCCCCCACACAACTTCCCCTGCCGGCCCCTTGCTCTGGGAACCGCCCCCCCCCCCCCGCCATGCCCTGCCCCATTGTCCCTGGCCGGCCCCTCATCCCTGGGGCCCCAAAAATATGTTTGGCGCCGAGCTCGCAAAAAGTTCCCCCGGGCCTTGCTGGGTGCCGTGTTGGCCGGTGGTTCGCCGGTGCTGGAGGCTGCAGGTCACCCCCCGGTCGCGGCCGTGGCCTGCGGCGTGTAACCCGGGCAGCTCGCTGGCAGACAAGGCGGTGATGGAACCAGTGGCTCTGTGGGCGGGAGTCTTGCTGCCAAATGCGTCTGGCAGGGAGGCGCCCCAGCGGTGCGTGGCACGTGGAGCTCGCACGTGGTGACTTCACGCTGCTGCGCGGACATCACTGCGTGTCTCCTTCGCGGGGTGAGGGGGGTACCAGTGCCAGGCCCAGGGGCCGGCGGCAGCTCCGGGCTCAGAACAGGGGAATCCCTGTTTGCCAGTCGCAAATGTGGCCGCTCCGGCCTGCTGCGTGCTCCCAGTGGATGACGGGTAACGGCTGGGCGACAGCGGGCTAGTGCAGAGGGCCCGTGTCCCTTTCCTGCGACGAAATCCCCCCGCAGAGCCGACGTCCCGCCCTGCTGCAGCTGCAAACGTTCAATAAAGGCGGCCTGTGTACAGAGAGCTCTGGGGCTGTGCGTGTTCTCGCCGGTCCCGTGGCCCTGCGGTGTCCCTGCTGGCCCAGCGCTGGGGACGCCTGGCGGGAGGCACAACAGGGCATGCTGGCCCTTTATGGCAGCCTCGGGGCCCAGCCTGGCCTGCTTCCGGGGCCAATGCCAAAGCAAGCCATTCTGGGACTTGCAGTTCCCGGGGCTGATGGGAGCTGTAGGCCTTGCAGCAAGGGATGCTGGGAAGGGGAGAAGTTTATATAGGAGCGCCCTGGTGCTCAGTTCGGTGAACTAGTAGGGGAGAACTCTCCTTGGGGGTTGGTTTGTAGCGTGGAAAGGCCTAGGGGCATCTGGGGAGAGCCTGGAAAGGGGGCTAGAGGCTGGGGTGTTTGACCTAGAAGACCCTGAGAGGGGAAGTACACGATGAGTCGGGGGGATGGGGCATGACCGTGATGGCAGGGGGTGAGCTAGATTGGGGGGGGGTGGGCTGTGTTTCCCACCAAAGGGTTCAGTTTAGCTGGAGGGCCTGATTAATTTACTGGGAGATGGAAACTGAGGCCGGTCCTGGTCATGCTCCCGGGAAGAGGAGGAAGCCGCTGCTGCTTTGGTCCCCCACCTAGCATGGTGAAGGCAGAATTGGGGGATCTCTGTATTTACTGACTAGCATCAGCCCCTTATTCGACTCTCAAATTGCCCAGGTCAGCGCCAGTTAAACAAGAAAAAATGGCCGTTAATGGGCTGGAAGGGGAAGAAAAACAACATTAATTACAGCTCGCCGTGCACCTCACTCCTGCAGCAAGCCCTGGCAGAGACGCAGAGCTAGCCGGAGAGCTCGGCCGGAAGAAGGGTGGGGGACCCCACCTTCACGCCCTCCCAGTGCGCTCGCAGGAGCAACTCAGAGGCAGGCATTGATGGGCCTGGAGCCCGTTCAGCTGCGTGGCCCAGGGACCATCCGGCTCAGGGAGGAGGCCGTGCTCTGGGGAGTGGGAATCATGTTGGGTTTAAAAGAGCAACGTGGTGAACGTCGGGTGCACCGTGAGCGCTATTGTGGGCTGGGCAGGGGGGCCACACAGGCAGTGCAGTGAGTGGGGCGGCTGGGGGGACGAGGGGCGGGTGAGAGAGTCGTGCGGGGAGCATCGCTGGTTGGGGGAACAATGGGGGGCAGAGAGGGGTCATGCCGTGAGCAGCGCCAGTGGGGGGTGCAATGAGGGGGCGGTGGGGGGGATTGTGAGGTGATCAGCACTGGTTGGGGGGGTCGCACGGTTGGGAGGGTCATGCAGTGAGCATTGCTGGTGGGGGACGCAAGGGCGGGGGTCTCACACACATGCCTGCAGGGAGATTGGGGCTCTTTGTCAGCAGCAAGCTAATTCCCCCAGCCCCCCCCCAGTTCACGTGTCTCTGCCCCCCCTAGCGGTGCATTGGTGGGGAGTGGATGGGGGGGTGCAATGGGCCCTGATGCCTGGGGGTGCAGCTTGGAACCTGGGTAGAGGCTGGCTTGATGGACAGCTGGGTCCCTGCACTCTTAGCCAATCAGATCTCTTTGTGGGTGGAACTAGAGGGGAGCGACCTGCAGGAGGCAGCGCTCTGGGGCTGAGGGGGCAGGGGCTGGGGTGTTGCTCTGGGGCTGAGGAAAGCGGGGGTGCACTGGGGCTGAGGGGCCAGGGAAGGGGGGGTGCTCTGAGGCTGAGGGAAGTGGGTGGCGGGTGTCGCTCTGGGGCTGAGGGGGAGGGGCTGGGGTGTTGCTCTGGGGCTGAGGAAAGGGGGGATGCACTGGGGCTGAGGGGCCAGGGAAGGGGGGGTGCTCTGAGACTGAGGGAAGAGGGTGGGGGGTGTCGCTCTGGGGCTGAGGAAAGGGGGGGTGCACTGGGGCTGAGGGGCCAGGGAAGGGGAGGGTGCTCTGAGACTGAGGGAAGAGGGTGGGGGGTGTCGCTCTGGGGCTGAGGAAAGGGGGGGTGCACTGGGGCTGAGGGGCCAGGGAAGGGGGGGTGCTCTGAGGCTGAGGGAAGAGGGTGGCGGGTGTCGCTCTGGGGCTGAGGGGGAGGGGCTGGGGTGTTGCTCTGGGGCTGAGGAAAGCGGGGGTGCACTGGGGCTGAGGGGCCAGGGAAGGGGGGGGTGCTCTGAGGTTGAGGGGAGGGGGAGGCGAAGCCTCTGAAATCCAGCAGGAGTAAGGAAGGGGCTGATCCAGGCCTGTGTGGGATGCGCGGGGTCAGGGGCTGGGGCGGTTGATGTAGGGCGAGGCCTGATGGACCCCTCTGCTCACAGGGGCTGCAGCCCAGCCCAGGCCTAGACTGGCTGGAAGACCCACTGCATGAGAAAGGTTTCATTCTCGGGGTGAGCTGGGGGGCCAGGAGAGGGGGGCCTGGGGATTTGGAGGGATGGGGCAACGAGCCCATTGCTGACAGTGGGAAATCGCCAGCTCCGGTACGGGTGGGTACTGCTGACTTATTGAACGCTGTGACTGTGAACGAGTGACCTCCTTACCCGTGCTCTGACCAGCCCCCGGCTCTCACGCCACCCCACGGGGACTGGGAGCAAAGCCGCCCTTGTTTCCGGGAGCCCTTCTGGAGGGCACCCGCCCCGCGACACTGCCCACGTGGCTCCAGTGGTTGGCGCACCACCTGTGCGGGCCTGCGGGGGGCGTGAGTCGCATAGCTACCAGCGCTGACTGCGGGCTGTGGGGCCCGGCTCGCGTGGGATCAGGCTGACACAGGGCCCGAGCAGTCCGTGACAGTAGGTTACCGCACAGAATGACACCTGACAATGACACTTCCTTGTGCACACAGCCCGTGGCATGGTCCAGCTGCAGCCGGGCAAACCTGAGGTTACAGGGACAAACCATCCCGATGAGTCGAAAGAATAGTAAATATGGCAGGCGACCAGCTTGGCTTAATGGTGAAATCTTAGCGGATCTTAAACATAAAAAAGAAGCTTACAAGAAGTGGAAGGTTGGACATATGACCAGGGAAGAGTATAAAAATATTGCTCGGGCATGTAGGAATGTTATCAGGAGGGCCAAATCGCACCTGGAGCTGCAGCTAGCCAGAGATGTCAAGAGTAACAAGAAGGGTTTCTTCAGGTATGTTGGCAACAAGAAGAAAGCCAAGGAATGTGTGGGCCCCTTACTGAATGAGGGAGGCAAACTAGTGACAGAGGATGTGGAAAAAGCTAATGTACTCAATGCTTTTTTTGCCTCTGTTTTCACTAACAAGGTCAGCTCCCAGACTGCTACGCTGGGCATCACAAAATGGGGAAGAGATGGCCAGCCCTCTGTGGAGATAGAGGTGGTTAGGGACTATTTAGAAAAGCTGGACGTGCACAAGTCCATGGGGCCGGACGAGTTGCATCCGAGAGTGCTGAAGGAACTGGCGGCTGTGATTGCAGAGCCATTGGCCATTATCTTTGAAAACTCGTGGCGAACCGGGGAAGTCCCGGATGACTGGAAAAAGGCTAATGTAGTGCCAATCTTTAAAAAAGGGAAGAAGGAGGATCCTGGGAACTACAGGCCAGTCAGCCTCACTTCAGTCCCTGGAAAAATCATGGAGCAGGTCCTCAAAGAATCAATCCTGAAGCACTTGCATGAGAGAAAAGTGATCAGGAACAGCCAGCATGGATTCACCAAGGGAAGGTCATGCCTGACTAATCTAATCGCCTTCTATGATGAGATTACTGGTTCTGTGGATGAAGGGAAAGCAGTGGATGTATTGTTTCTTGACTTTAGCAAAGCTTTTGACACGGTCTCCCACAGTATTCTTGTCAGCAAGTTAAGGAAGTATGGGCTGGATGAATGCACTACAAGGTGGGTAGAAAGCTGGCTAGATTGTCGGGCTCAACGGGTAGTTATCAATGGCTCCATGTCTAGTTGGCAGCCGGTATCAAGTGGAGTGCCCCAAGGGTCGGTCCTGGGGCCGGTTTTGTTCAATATCTTCATAAATGATCTGGAGGATGGTGTGGATTGCACTCTCAGCAAATTTGCGGATGATACTAAACTGGGAGGAGTGGTAGATACGCTGGAGGGGAGGGATAGGATACAGAAGGACCTAGACAAATTGGAGGATTGGGCCAAAAGAAATCTGATGAGGTTCAATAAGGATAAGTGCAGGGTCCTGCACTTAGGACGGAAGAACCCAATGCACAGCTACAGACTAGGGACCGAATGTCTAGGCAGCAGTTCTGTGGAAAAGGACCTAGGGGTGACAGTTGACGAGAAGCTGGATATGGGTCAGCAGTGTGCCCTTGTTGCCAAGAAGGCCAATGGCATTTTGGGATGTATAAGTAGGGGCATACGAGCAGATCGAGGGACGTGATCGTTCCCCTCTATTCGACATTGGTGAGGCCTCATCTGGAGTACTGTGTCCAGTTTTGGGCCCCACACTTCAAGAAGGATGTGGATAAATTGGAGAGAGTCCAGCGAAGGGCAACAAAAATGATTAGGGGTCTGGAACACATGAGTTATGAGGAGATGCTGAGGGAGCTGGGATTGTTTAGCCTGCAGAAGAGAAGAATGAGGGGGGATTTGATAGCTGCTTTCAACTACCTGAAAGGGGGTTCCAAAGAGGATGGCTCTAGACTGTTCTCAATGGTATCAGATGACAGAACGAGGAGTAATGGTCTCAAGCTGCAGTGGGGGAGGTTTAGATTGGATATTAGGAAAAACTTTTTCACTAAGAGGGTGGTGAAACACTGGAATGCGTTACCTAGGGAGGTGGTAGAATCTCCTTCCTTAGAGGTTTTTGAGGTCAGGCTTGACAAAGCCCTGGCTGGGATGATTTAACTGGGAATTGGTCCTGCTTCGAGCAGGGGGTTGGACTAGATGACCTTCTGGGGTCCCTTCCAACCCTTATATTCTATGATTCTATGATTCTTTCCTACCGCAGACTTGGCCCGCAGGGACCAGACTGAAAAACGCGATTGGTGGCACGTCCTGCTGGAGGCCCCCCGCCCGCAGAGCCTGCGGGCTCCTGCACGATCAAAACTCAGCCTACATACGCACAAAAGAGTCAAGCCGCCCACCTGCCTCCGGGGGGGGGGGTCACTTACTCTTGCCTACCCGCTGGGGTGCGGGAGCTGCCATCCCCTACCCTGTCACTCACCTGCCTCCCTCCTCATCCTGTGTGCCCATGACCCCACCCGGTCTCCTGCACCTCTTGCATCCCCTCTTCCTGCTCCCGGACAGTCTCCTGTATCCTGCCTCCTACCGTCACCTGCTACTTTCTCATCTGTCTCCTGCCCCTTCAGTGCCCCATACTCGCATATACCCCCACTGGCTTTCTCTGTCACATCTCCTCACTGCCTGCCTGTGGCACCCTGAGTACAACTAATTACGTGGCTGGCTTCGGCCCCACTGACATCACTGGGAGACGGATGCTTTGGGTGAGGGGAAAATACATTTCTGCCATCCATCACGAGCCCCCGAGACGCGCCTTTAAAAATAAAGAACACCGAAAATCTTGAGACGTGCAGTGACATCGCAGGAAGGGGCAGCTCTCAGACAAGCTGGGCCCAGGCTGACCTGTCCATGCGGCTCCCAGGGCAACGAGCCCAGCTGGCTGCCCCCCAGCGCCTCCCTACGCACTAGCTGGATGGGCTGCCAAAGGCAGTGCCCAGACCTGTGCAGGGTGGGGGCACCTGGTCCGTGACAAGGGCTCCGGCGCAGGACAGTAGTGCAAATACAGTCCTAATGCAGCCCTCAGGGCCACAGTGCTGGGCGTCAGACGGCCCTGAGAGGAGACCGCGCCCTTAGAACCTGCTATGGGTCTGCTAGACAAAGGCACGGCTTTCCTTTCGATTTCACTGCCTCGCTGTAAGGGAGCCGATAAAAATACCCAAGTCCTGCGATGCCTTTCTCTGCTCCCCCGTCAGACAAGTTGTGTGTCTATTTCTCCCCCGCCCCTCGCTGATCTGCTCCTGTCTTCTCTGTGGTGCACAGGGGAAGCAGCTGCGCCCCAGAGCCCTAGGCCCTCTGGTCGACACGACAAAGTTAGGGCGACGCATGTCACCTGTGGCAACCTCTCTGTGCATGTGGCTCCAGCCGAGGTAAGTGCCCTGTTCCAGACACAGTAACCCCCCCCATGGCGTAGAGCCATGGGCAACCGCCTGAGGTTCACACAGCGTGAACGCAGACACTGCACGACTTGTGTTGGCCCCAATGCTCCTCCAGCAGCTGTCCCCGAATGCCCCATTCCCTGCACCAGTGACTGCTCTGGTCACCGTTTTAAATGCCACGGCCCAGGGGTCACAGAGACCAGGCGTGAGGCCTCTCCCCTGAAAAACCCTCTGCGGGTTTTTGAAATGCTTTTTCCTGATTGCCCACCGTGGCGACACACCTAGCAGCTCTCCTTCGCCGTGTGCCTCTGCCCAGCTGACCCTGCCGGGCCCCTGCAGGCCGAGGGGCACCAGCCGTGCGCCTGCCTGCCGGAGACAGGAAGCATTGGAACTCCTGGGCCTGTGGGGAGAGGAGCTTGTGCAAATGCAGCGATGCACCGGCCGTAGAAACGTGGCCACCTGCGAGCAGGTTGCACCAGGGCTGCAGCAAAGGGGTACAGCCAGGATCAGCTGCAGCGCTGCGTGCACGCCCAGGGACACCACACGGCCAGGGAGCACACCAATAGTTCCGGTGCTGTGCCACAGACATGCCACCTCTGCCGTGAACTGCAGGGCGTCCTTTGATCGGCACCCCCCAGCTCATTGTGGGAAGCTTGGAGGAGCCTGTGACAGAGGCCCCATGCCATCAACACCAGCGAAGAGGACAGGGAGACGTGGCAGGCGACTGCAGCCATGCCATGAGCCTGGATCTGTTGGAGACTCCACCACAGTTTAGCCCAGCAGTCCCCAAACTTTTGAGGGTCACGCCCCCCCCTTACCCCTGTCTGTGCCCCTTGCCCCCCCCGAGCCGGAAAAATTGGAAAGAGTCCAGCGGAGGACAACAAAAATGATGAGGGGACTGGAACACATGACTTATGAGGAGAGGCTGAGGGAACTGGGGATGTTTAGTCTGCGGAAGAGAAGAATGAGGGGGGATTTGTTAGCTGCTTTCAACTACCTGAAAGGGGGTTCCAAAGAGGATGGATCTAGACTATTCTCAGTGGTAGCAGATGACAGAACGAGGAGTAATGGTCTCAAGTTGCAGTGGGGGAGGGTTAGATTGGATATTAGGAAAAACTTTTTCACTAGGAGGGTGGTGAAACACTGGAATGAGTTACCTAGGGTGATGATTTAATTGGGGATTGGTCCTGCTTTGAGCAGGGGGTTGGACTAGATGACCTCCTGAGGTCCCTTCCAACTCTGATATTCTATGATTCTATGACTCCAGGGGTGAGGGGTGTGGACAGGGGTAAGGGGGCTGAGGCTAGGGCCACACAGCTGGGGGTGAGAGTGGGGCAGGGAGTGGGGCCACAGCCGGGCTGCGGTGGGGGCTGGCAGGCAGGCTGGCAGCCAGGTGCGGCTCAGCTCCTGGCCTTGCCCCCAGCCTCGGCCCCAGGCCAGGAATGGAGCTGCGGCCAGTGGTTGAGGCTTGGAGCTGGCACGGGGCCGAGAGCAGAGCTGTACCAAGGCTGGGGATGGGGCCAGGCCCAGGGCCAGGAGCCAAGGACACAGTTGGGGGCCAGACTGGAGCAGAGCTGGGGGCGAGGAGGGGCTGGGTGATGCTTCTTCCCTGCCCCCGTGGGGGCTAGTCTGGGCCCCACCGCGTTCCTCTGTGCCACCTGAGGGGGGGGGCCCACACTTTGGGGACCTCTGGTTTAGCCTGTCCCCCCATGCAAGCGCGGACGAGCCCGATGGAGGGGAAGGGAACTTGGGTAAGTGTGTGCATGCACTTTTCTTTACACTGTTACATTTAAAGATGGCGCCCGGCCCAGCTCCAAGTTCACAAGACAAAGCGTTCAATGTTTCGTTGTTTTCCTCGAAGGGACAGAGGCAGAGCGACCACACACAGAGGGAGAGTTGGCATCTGCCGTTCATTCCCCTGTTGAGTCAGGTGGGGGGGGCCCATGTGGAACACTTTGGGTATGTGCCCAGGGCTGCCCCGTTTATCCTCCTCAGGGAGACTGATGACACGTGCGTGGAGATGCTCTGCAGTCCTGTCCCGGAGGTTTCCAGGGTTGGCTGCTGTATTTCTTCCTCCACGTAGAACACTTTCCTGTGCCACTCTGCGATGAGTCCAGCTGGCGGGGAGATGACGGCAGTACCCAGACGAGCAGCATACGGTCCCAGGCGGCTTGGGGGGCCAGTAGCAGCTATGCTCTGTGACCCTCACGGGTGAGTTATCAGCTAAAATCACCATTGCCTTTGGGAAATCGCGCCAGTACTCAGTGACGTTGCCCTGAGCTCGTACCCATCGAATAGGGACCAACATCTTATAGCTTCACGCAACAGAAACTCTTTCCCCCCTCGCCCTGATGGGCCGTACTCACAAGGGCTGGGGCCGAAGAGCCACGCTGGGCCGAGGGGCTCTAGCGCTGAAGTGGAGCATTTCTAATTAAGAGTGTTTCTGGGAAAAAGGGAAGGGAGTTCTGAAGCTTTTCTTCCCCTTTCGACTGTAAATCCAAGGTCCATCTGGCTGTTTCTATCAGCAGCTTCTGGTGGAGCAGCTTTAAAGGATGCCCTCGCCACACCCACAGAGCATCTGACCCTCGTGAGGAGAAAGAAGAGAACCAGGGAGAACATGTTCTGTGAGATCCTGCAAGCTAGAGCTGCACTGGCGGGCTGATATGACCAACAGCCTGGAGAAGGACGGAGTGGCCAAGAGAAAGGCCCTGCAGGACACAGAGTGGGAAATGCACCAGGCCAATGGATCATCTCAGGCAGCTAACTCAAATGCTGCAGACCCTGGCTGACCTACAGGTCCAAAAATCCCACTTTTGCAGTCCTTGGAGGACTCCATGGTCGCTGCTCCCTACACCTGCCAACATACCACGTGGCAACCACTCCACATCACGCCACACTGGGGGACAGCAAGGAATACCAGTTTGACATACACTGACCTGAGAGAACCACGGCTAGTGTATGAGTAGCCACAATGGGCTGCCTTTGTGTACTCAAATAGATGTAAAAGTTCATTCCTTTCCACTTTCAAATTTTCACCCCGTTAAGCTATGTTACATTTGTATAATGTCACCTGTGGGGTTTTTGTGACCATTGACTTTCTGCACAGTGCACTGTTTTCCCCCCACTTGTTAAAAGTTCTATTTTTGGCAAATCAAATGATCTTCTAGTTCCCAGCAAATATTGCAGACTGGTAGCCAAAGCAAGCTGTACTTGTAAACACACACCAAGCACCACAACATTCATACTTCAGGAAAACACCCAGACAGATTTATAAATGTACCACAAGCCCTGCACAAAGCTCTAGGCCCAACAAACACACACTCCCAGGGCTGACCATTCAAGTGCTCTTTCAAAACCTCCCTCCACCGCCTAACTCCACCTTGGGCTCATGTAATGGCCCTTGTCTCTGGCTGTTCAAAGTCAGCGGCCAGCCACTCCACCCCAACCCTGGCAGAAGCTTTTCTCCCTTTACCTCACAGATCTTGCCGAGAAGGCCAATGGCATTTTGGGATGTATAAGTAGGGGCATTGCCAGCAGATCGAGGGATGTGATCGTTCCCCTCTATTCGACATTGGTGAGGCCTCATCTGGAGTGCTGTGTCCAGGGCCCCACACTACAAGAAGGATGTGAAAAAATTGGAAAGCGTCCAGCGGAGGGCAACAAAAATGATTAGGGGTCTGGAACACATGACTTATGAGGAGAGGCTGAGGGAACTGGGATTGTTTAGCCTGCAGAAGAGAAGAGTGAGGGGGGATTTGATAGCTGCTTTCAACTACCTGAAAGGGGGTTCCAAAGAGGATGGCTCTAGACTGTTCTCAGTGGTAGCAGATGACAGAACAAGGAGTAATGGTCTCAAGTTGTAGTGGGGGAGGTTTAGGTTGGATATTAGGAAAAACTTTTTCACTCGGAGGGTGGTGAAGCACTGGAATGCGTTACCTAGGGTGGTGGTGGAATCTCCTATCTTAGAAGTTTTTAAGGTCAGGCTTGACAAAGCCCTGGCTGGGATGATTTAGTTGTGGGTTGGTCCTGCTTTGAGCAGGGGGTTGGACTAGTCGACCTCCTGAGGTCCCTTCCAACCCTGATATTCTAGGATTCTATGATCTTATGCAGGACAAAACAGGCAGCTATAACCATTGGGATGTTTTTCTCACTTAAGATCTAATCAAGTTAGTAAACTCCAGCAAGCGTCCCTTCACTCTACCAAGGAGACATTCAACATTCAACGCATCTCCTGAGCCAGTTGCTGAATCTTCGCTTGGCGCTGTCAAGGTGGCTGGTGTACAGCTCCATAAGGCAGGGCAGGCTGGGTCTCCAGAAATCATTACTGGCATTTCACGATCGCTAATGGTGATCTGCTGGCTAGGAGAGAATGTCCCTGTGTGCAGCTTTCGGAACAGCCCTGTGTTCTTAAAGATGCAAGCATCATACACTTCCCCTGGCCAGCTACAGTGATGTTGGTGAAGTCTCCTGATGATCCACCAATATTTGCATAAACCATAGAAAACTAGCCCTTTCTGTTGCTGTACTCTGTGGCAAGGTGGGATGGTGCCAACATAGGGACGTGTGTCATCTATCACCCCACCGTGTTTCAGGAACCCAATTACTGCAAATCCATCCACTATTTCCTGCACATTGCTGAGGGTCACCGTCCTGCATAGCAGAAGATGATTGATGGCCCTGCACACTTGCATGACAACAGCTCCCACTGTGGATTTGCCAACTCCAAAATGATTTCCCACTGACCAGCATTCCGGCATTGGAAGCTGCCCGTGTGTGATCACCATTCACTTTTTCATTGTCAGTACAGTTCTCATGCTGGTGTCATTGCGCTGGAGGGCTGGGGTGAACTTGGCACACACGGCCAGGAACGTGGCCTTTTGAATCCGAAAGTTCTGCAGCCCCTGCTCATCCCAAAACTGCATTACGATGTGATCCCTCCAGTTAGGGCTCAGAAGCATCGCTCCACCAAGGGCAGCTGCTCTGTGCATGCCACCAGCAACCCTGAATTGTTTTTTGCGAAGTACCTCAGGAAACTGTCCTTAAAGATGGCATCACGTCCCCTGTTGCAGACCTTCCTGTGAGTCTGCAAATACAGGAGCATTGTGCATCCTGGAGCTGCAATGTTCATAAGAATAGTGCAGAGTTTTGCATGCTCTGTGCTTCGCTAAGAGGTGGCAGGCACTGAAAAGTGCTGTACAGGCTTGTGGGATTTTTTTTAAATGGTGCAAAAATTATGGACTATGGATGTCATTATGGGATGGAGAAGTTGCATGCTGGAAACCTGATCTGTAGCACCCAGAGCTCTCTGGGCAAGTCATTACTACCCCACAACACTGTGAACATTCCCCCAAAGCCATTATCCTGGAAGGTGGCGTGTGGCATGCTGGGATACCTACCTGTGGTGCACTGCACTTGACACTAACTCAAGGACCCCTGGGGAGTCCACACAGAGCCAATGCAAGCAGCCACGTAGGCAGACAATGGTGGCTGTAGGCCGATGTAACTTGGACAAACCAGTTTGTAGTGCAGACATGGCCCAGTAAAACCCAGTTTCGTCCCCAAAGATTTCATAATCTAAATAGCCAAGACAAAGTGCAGGAGAAAGGATTTTTTCCCATTTCCACCCTGAATTGCCTCCACTTGCTTTGTGCTTTTCAAACATCAGGTACCAGCTTTGGGAGGCTCAGCCTATGCAATGTTTGAAGGACTCAGGGAAGCTTCATTCAGGTGTAGCGTTGCCTCATCCTAGATCTCGGCTTTTGGTTTAAACTCTAGAATCTTTATTAACTGATGCTGTACTTACAGATTAATCAAATTAAGGACAGGCAGGACTATAAAATCATCGAGACCGACCACCTGTATATCCCAGGCCCTTAAATTTCACCCAGTTACCCCTACATTGAGCCCAGTAACTTGTGTTTGACTAAAGCAAACTTCCAGAAATGCCTCCAGTCTTGATTAGAAAACATGAAGAGCTGGAGAATCTACCACTGGCCTTGGGAGTTGGTTCCAACGGTTAATCACCCTTATTTAAAACATTGTGCCTTATTTCCAATTTGAATTTGTCTGGCTTCAGCTTCCAGGCATTGGTTCTTGCCCTGCCCTTCTCTGCTGGATTAAAGAGCCTGTCAGTACTTGGTATTTTCTCCTTGTGAAGGTCCTTAGACACGGAGATCAAGTCACCTCTCAATCTTTTTGGTAAGCTAAACAGATGGAGCTCATGGAGTCTCTCCCTGCAAGGCATTTTCTCCAGCACTCAGATCAGGTTTGTGGCTGTCTCCTGCACCCTCTCCAATTGTTCTACATCTTTTAAAAAATACAGACACCAGAACTGTCCACAGGATTCCAGTTTCAGTCTCACCAGGGCTGTGTACAGAGGCCAAATCACCTCCTCACGCCTCCTGTTTATACATCCAAGGATCACATTAGCCCCTTTTGCCTCCTTCACACTGGGAGCTCATAGCCAATCACCTGTCCACTCTCAGCCCTAGACCCTTTCCAGAGTCACTGCTTCCCAGAAGCCAGTCCCCCAGTCTGGAGGGCAAGCCAGCATTTCTTTTTCCTACATCTATCACTTTATATTTGGCCATCTTAAAACGCATTTTGTTTGACTGGGCCCAGCTTGCCCAGTGATTCTCTATTGCTGTCCTCTCATCATCAGTTGCCGTGCCACCACATGGTGTCACCTGCAAATGTTATGAGTGGTGATTTTATATTGACTGCCCGATCACTGCTGAAAATATTGAATAGCAGCAACCCTAGTACCAGTTCCTCCAGAACGGCATTAGAAACATCCCCATTCAAAGATTCCTCATTGGCAAGTACTTTTTGAGATCTGTTAACTGGCCAGCTCTTAATCCATCTAACGTGTGCTTCCCTCATACTGTACAGTGCTCGTTTTTAATCGGCATGTGTGGTACTATGTGAAATGCCGCACGAACGGCTATTTTATCTGTTACACTCGCACCTGACAGAGATTTTGACTTTTCCTCCTTAACTTTTTCTTTCCTCTTTATTTAGAAATATAGAGAAGAACAAACGAGCAAAGAAGCAAAAAAGAGCCAAAGATTAAATAAAGTAATCAACAGGCATAAATTATGCATACAGAATAGCCAAATACATGTGAGACATGGATGCCATGATTACCTTATATATATAGACAACCCTTATTTTCTTTTGCATGTTTACCATGTGTTTCATTATTAGTACACACTGAGTAACGAAGCCTAAAACACGAAAAGTACCTGCACCAGAGCGGGCTCAGAAATATTACTCGGTATATAAGACAGAGCCAACAGCCGCTCCAGCCCCAGTCCCATATCTTGCTAGAACTTCCAAGCATCAAGTATGGCTGTATCTTCTTGAGGTCTGTCTGTCTTTGAATGTGCCATATGACTGTAGTACAGTCTAAGGCTGTAGTCATCATACTCCCATGGCCACCCAGTGCTGCGTTATCCAGTTGGAGATCATGCCATTTTACATCCCATAATACTGTGTCCCTTTTAGATTTTGTTAGGATAATCTCTCTTAATGTTTGAGTGTTTTGCACGCTATACAAAGTTACCAGCCTGTACCTACATAGTCTCTAAAAGAAACAAGCCTTTATTGGTGACGTTGATTGACAAAAGGAAAAAATTTAAAATGTTCATCTAAATCATACAGATTGTAGCAGTCTAAGATTTGCAGACCTTTTCTTCTGAGATCATTCTTCAAAGCTATCAGCAAAAAGAATGTATTAAATATACAAATTCTCTTGTAAGGAATATGTTCATTCCTTATAAAACTAGCTGAATTATTTTGTTTAGGAAGACAATTAAGTGCCAATATTTCAGGCCTACTTTACCCCAGAAACCTGAAACTTTGTTAAATTCTATTTCACGCTCTGCGTAACGCTGGGAATAGTAGCTTTGTAGAATCAACAGCACAGCAGACGCATACATGTTTGTGCTCTCCTACTCTAATAGCCCACACAGAACTAGTTTTTATGCGCTGTGCAAAAAGTTCTAGCACTATAGAAAACCATAGTGGAAATAAAGGACTTTTTTCCCCAGTTCAGCTCTAAACCCTGCAGCAAGCTACCACATGGGAAAGGGTTCCTCTGGCTCAGATGGAAAGTGGACAGCATCACATCAGCTTGTTTGCGGGGTTTCTTCCTCTAATCCCCTTCCGGGCTGAGTAATGAAGATAATAGGACCCTATATCTGACTTTCCCCTTTCTCTCTGATTCTCACAGTGCTACCGTGGAGCCCAAACTCGTACTTGGTCAGACGAAATAACTAGACCCATACTTGGAAAACCTGTGATCACGCCTGGAAAACAAATCCCAAGGATCAGAATGAAAAGTGAAACCCTGTCCCACTGATTCCAACAGAGGCACGCCTTGGCCCTGGCTTTATCCAGCCTCTCTCCCTGTTTCCTTGTAGAGAGACCAACAATACAACGCATGAAAAAAAAACATAATTAAAATCAGAAACCCATGCAATGTGTCCTCGTTGTATTTACATTCAAACATTTCTGTTTACAGCCCCTGCCTCATCTTCTCAGTAGGTTAAAGAAACACATTTCTCCTATCCCCTTTGGCAAGGTTCCACCCTGGGGCCCGATTCCACTCTTCCACACAGCAACTGAATTATGGAGCAGCTTCCCTGACTGCAGTGGAGTTCAGGCCTGATTCAATGCTGTGAAAGTCAGTGGGAGCCCTTAGATTGGCCTCTAATGGACATTGGCCTGACCCTCCCTGTGGAATTTACATGGTTGTAAATGAGACTGGGTTTGGCCCCTTATCATGGAGTCCCTGCAATGGTAAAATAGAAAAACCAGAAATCACTCATCAAACACTGAAGACACTGGAAAGCATCATGACCCCTTTCTGAACCTCAGAAGTCACCCTCAAGCAAACTCACAAAGAGGTCACTTTAGTTTCAGTTTCAAGGACTGGTTGAGCCCATTACGTTAAGGCAACAAATGGCTTTATGTTGTGTTTCCTCCAGGACTAGAAAGAAAGGTGACGCATCAGGAATCGCAGCTATAGAGCTCAGTGTTCCCGTTTTCCTCACACATATGCTCAGAGTCTGCTCCGACTTCTGGCAGTTCACCCTCTTCTGCTGCTTCTTACCATCTTGTTTAACCCATGTTCCATTTACTGTAACCCAGATGGGCTTCTGGATTCTGGTCCTGCCATTTTCTCTGAGCCACTTCTCATTTCTTGAGGCATCTCCAGAACCTCTCTGGAAAGATTTAGATACCAAATCTTTACCTTTCAGATTCACAGAACAACTTAAATGGAGAAACCAGGTAGGATCTTAAGTTCTTACATCCTGGGGCTTTCCCGGGGCTTGTCTTCTTTTTAAGATTTATGCTGAAGAGGCTTGAAAACGTGTCCTTCAAAACCCATCATTCAGTTGCCTGAATTTATGGCCTTTTCTCCATATTAGTATATTAATGTCCACTTTCTATATTTGCTGTAACGGCTCTTTGTAAATGGAGCAAATATTCAACTAATTTCCTTCCCTAACCAAAGGATTTCTCAAACCCAGCACTATGATTCTATGTCAGTCCTCTTGAGCTTCCTTTCTCAGCTCTGCACTGATGGAATTGTCTTGTCTGCCCTGCCCTGCCCCCATAGCATCTGGCTGTTCTCCGCTGGTGCCTTAACTGCCCGATAGCCAGGTGGTTAATTGGTGTAGCATGTCTGAGGCTCCTCACAGCACTCATAGGCTGTTCTTTGATGCCTACGTCTGGTCCTTTCAACCTCATTTATCTAGCCCCTGGCATCATCCGTCCTTTGGGTCTAACACTCACCCGAGGTGAAATTCTCCTACTAGGCAGAGGGCAGCAGAGAGGCTGACACGGGACATAGGCCTTGTGCTCTATGAATTTCGCCCTCTAGCGTAGGTGGGGATGTAACACCTTGTATTGGATCAGCTTCTCCTGGTGAGAGACAAGCTTTCAAGCCGCACAGAGGTCTGGTCTACACTGCAGACCTGAATCGGTATAATCACGTCGCTTGGGGTGTGAAAAATCCACACCTAACACACACACACACACCCCCGATGTAGACAGCACTATGTCAGCAGAGTTTCTCCTGCCGACACAGCTACCGCCTCTCGGGGAGGTGGGTTAACTATGCCGCTGGGAGAGCTCTTTCCCATCGGCACAGGAGCAGCTTCACTTACACACTACAGTGGCGCAGCTGCGCTGACAGGGTTTTAAGTGTAGAGCTGCCCAGAGCTCTGGGAACCGTACTGGGAGCATCACAGCTAAAGGCCAGGTGGGACGGATTGTTTGGCATGAGTAGTTAGCGCATATTGCAAGGGACCATGCAAGGTAGAGTGTCCCGTTAGCACCTCTGTGGTCAGAGGACAAAAAGCAGGGGGTTAGTAGGTTACAGATTGCTGTAATAAGCCAGGACTCCCGTGTCTCTGTTCAGCCCATGAGCTTCAGTGTCTAGCAGAGTTAGGGATTTAAGCTCCCAGGCTTGTCTTTTGAAAGCGTTATGCAGGTTTCCTTTGAGGAGGAGGAGGACTCAGTTAGGGCTTATTACAACAATCTGTAATCCATTAACCCCCACTTTTTGTCCTATGCCGTCCTCCCTGCTCCCAGTCTCATCCAACGTGCATGGAAATACACAGCAGGTTCCCAGACTTGTTTTGAGTCCAGGATTGCCCTTTCTACCTTATAAATGGTATTTATGTGCAACCAAATTTTGGCCAGTGACATCTGTACAACCTAATGGCAGTCCATGGGGTAGCATAGTTTTATTTGGCCTTGGCCTTTCCACCATACATTAGTGGCAGTGTCTTTAATAATTTGATTGTACACCCAAGCCAGGGATGGTAGGGGAAGCAGGATGTCCATGTTAGGCAGCACCAGCAGACTCCTGGGTTCAGAAGCATGGGGCTGGATTCAGCCACTGAAGTCAGGAGCACTATGCTGATTTACTGCAGCTGAGAATATGACCCATGGTGTCTTTCTCCCCCTGCCTGCTATTCCTACCTCTTTATCTCTTATTGCAACACAGCTCAGTGCAAATGTATGGAACCAGGCAGCGTGTCAGGTGAATCTGTTCACAGTTCCCATATGCACCCCTGGGGCGTCCGACTCCCCAAGCTACCGAGGAGGAAGATAGACTGGCCATAGTATTTCCTTTAGAGCAAGACCCAGCCACTCCAAAGAACTGATTCTGCCATCTGCTGCATTACCACTTGTGCTCTGTGACTAGTTCCATTGAGGGGAAGGCAGGATGGTCCTAATTTTTTATTAATTTGTGGCTTTAGTGCCCAGATCCTTTGGTAACTGGCATATTAGGAAAACACATGTAGAAAGTGCCCATAAGAACTGAGAGCAGTGAAGCAAACCTCTCCCGCAGAAATTGCTTAGTGAGGATAATACTCGCCCTGTCTCTAGTGCCGTTCAGCAGTGCATCTCAAAGCCAAATATCAACATTAATCCTCACAACCCTACACGTTCCAGACAGGGAAACTGAGGCATAGAGCGGGTAATGTGACATCTCCATGGTTACATACTGAGCCAGTGTCAGAGGTGAAAGTCCTGGCTTCCAGTCCCTGGAGCTTGTACATGTCATGCCTTGAATCCTCAAGAAGGTCAGGGGACCGTGAGTGACTCATTTTCCCCAGCGAGATCATCTCTGCGTCCTCTCAGAGCGACGCTCAGCATTTAGGGCTGTGATCAAGAGGAACTAGCTCCACTTTGTGGCTGGAGAGCCCTACTTGCCTTTTACAGAAGGGAAACCGGAGCACAGAGAGGGGCAGTGACTCAAGGCCACACAGGGAATCCGGAGCCGAGCCCGTTAGAACCCTGGAGTCCCCAGCTCCCAGCCCTACCCGCTCCGCAGCACCATCAGCATCACATGAGCACCTGCACTGCCTTGAGCCATAAACATCCACAGGCGCTCTGAACAAAGGCAGCTCCCGAGGTGCGTGCAGGACAACTGGGAGACATCAAGGACATCCTGAACGATTCCTGTGCAGCAGTGAAGGAGCTGGGAGAACCAGATCTCCAAGCCCTGGAACCTGCGGGACAGGCGCCAACCATTGGTGTTAAAAACTTCTGGGAGTTATTCACCGGGAAGTGTGACAAGTCAGAGACACTGAGCACCAGCCAGAACACCCGACCCTCTGAACACCACCTCACAGAAAAGGAAGCTGCTTCTGGCCCCAGGACACGCCATGCGGAGCTGACACAGGAGAGGCCTGGCTGTGGGGATGAGTGAAAGCCAGCCCCATCCCCAGAGGCTGTATCAGTACAGGGCCCTACAAGATGCTATCGTTTGACCTGTCCCACAAGGATAAGGCCCAGAGTTAGTAACTGCAAAACTCCAGGGGAGCCTGGCACAATATCGGTTGCTGTGGGAATAAACCTGAGAAAGGGGCAGAATGCCTTCTCCTCAGCCGCTGTTGCCCAGTGTCCCCCAGGAACTCGTCCAGCCCAATGTCCGGGGGAAGCAGAGCCCCCTAAAACACAGATGCAGGAATGAAGGAAGCTGGCTGGGGCAGGTCTCAGTCACATAATCACTTAGATGATCTCGCAGCTCTTTTCCATCTATAATTATTATGATCCTTGTAGTTTCGTCCACCTTCTCCAGGGAGTTAGCCTGGACCCCTTGCCAGCAGCTCTTCTGCTGTTTGCCACCTGCCTTTGATCCCTTGCAAGTTCTCTGCTGTAGAATATAGAGGGACTTATTGCATGAATGTCATGGGCTCCATGCTGCCATTTCAGTGACTTTGGCTTTTCTCCCTCCCCATACATCTGACGGCTGCATGTGCAATGTCTCCCTTGGCCTCAAAGGTGGATCTTCTCACACGCTGCTCTTCCACCACCACCAGAACCAACATTTGTTCTTTCTAGCCTGGGCTTGCTGTCTAGTTCTGCCCCTTCTCCTCCGGAGGGAACTTTTCATGCACTGAGCACGTCGATGATTCCTGGCCTCTTTTGCGGTTTGCTCATCTGTTACGTTAACTTGGGTTTTCAGTGAACTTTCTCTAACACGCGGCACTCCCAGAACAGGAGTCAACAGGGAGCAACAGACTGGATGATGAGTGGAATGGCTCAGGGTCGATTCTATGGCCTCTGCCATCCTAAGGAGGCTTCTGCAAAGTCCCAATTCACCCCGGTGTATCTCCAGTGAAGTTATACGTGGGATGAATGCAGCCCCAGAGCTCAGGGTTTGTACATGATGCTAAACGGAGTCAGAAGAGATCATACGGATCTGGGCACTGGGTGGTAAAGGATCTGTATTGTGTAGGTGACTGCACTGACTGATCAGAAATGCAGTTCAATTAAATTAGTGTGTGAGTGAGCAAGCAATGGAGGGGAATCTATGCTCAGTATCCCTAGTCACCCAGCACGCAAGTGGGATTGATTGTGATAAAATCATTGAAACCACCTGCTCAATGCAAAGCTGCAGCAAAAAAGCCAGACCAGATGCTATGCTGCATGGATAGAAGAGAAGGAAAACCAAAGGATGTGGTAGCATGTAAGGCTCTTGTGAGTCCCCACCTGGGGCACTACAGGACCGGGTACCATCCAGCTTCCTTGGAAGGGTGCATCAGGGGAGGGTTAGGAATTGGGAGTAAATGGAGGAACCTGGGCAGAGCTACATCATGCAAAAGGTAACAATAACCACATGGAATACGTCATCAGCAGGAGCGGGATGCCACATGAGCTCAAGAGACACCTAGATTTACTCCTGGGGAAAGTGGACAGGTCTGCAGAGCAAACTGGAAGCTGGGCTTTAAATCCATGACCAGGGGATAGGGATTTGGGTCGAGATGATCTTTCCCTGCTCTTAAAACTTCCTGAGCCAAATTCACTGGGTGCAACTTCACTGATGTCAGTGATGCGGCAGCAGGGCCGGCGCTGGGCCTGTGTGTTAGAACCTGTCTCTCCTGCGTATGGGCTTTCTGGTGCGTTATTAAATTAGACTTCTGGCAGAAGCTTTTCCCACAGTCCTTGCAGGTAAATGAGATCATTTCTCGGTGGGCTTTCTGAGGGACAGTGGCAAGCATCTTCTGCGGGAAACCGTCCCCACTTTCGCTGGGTAGTATCACTGGCTCTTGGGAATGGGTTTTCTGGTGCACCTTGAGATAGCGCATGGAGGAGAAGCTTTTCCCGCAGTCGGTGCATATACTCAGCAGCACCCTGCTGTGGATCTTCAGGTGGATTTTCAGAGACCCCTCCGCAGTGAAGCTTTTCCCACATTCCGTGCAAGTGAAGGGCCTCTCCCCTGTGTGCATTCGCTGGTGGATCCGCAGGTACTTGGCAGTGAAGCTTTTCCCACAGTCAGAGCAGGTGAACAGGCCCTCCCCTGTGTGCATCCGCTGGTGGATGCGGAGATAGCCCTTCTGGGCAAAGCTCTCCCCACACTCCGCGCAGGTGAATGTGGTCTCCCCCGTGTGGCTTCTCTGGTGCATCTTGAGATATCGCATGGTGGCAAAGCTCTTCCCGCAATCACTGCAGATGAAGGGGGTCCCGTCCGTGTGGATTTTCTGGTGTATCTTCAGATAGCCCTTGGTGGTGAAGCGTTTCCCACACTCGGGACAGGGATACGGGGTCTCCCCCGTGTGCAGCCTCTGGTGTATCTTGAGATAGCCCTTGGTGGTGAAGCTCTTCGCACACTCAGTGCATGTGAAGGGCGTCTCACCCGTGTGGATTCTCTGGTGCGCCTTGAGGGAGCCCTTGGAAATGAAGCTTTTCCCGCACTCCAGACATGTGAACGGCCTCTTCCCCTTGTGCTGTCCCAGGTGTATCTTGAGATAGCCCTTGGAAGTAAAACTCTTCCCGCACTCGGTGCAAGTAAAGGGCCTCTCTCCCGTGTGTTTCCTCTGGTGGACTTTGAGGTCCACCTTGCGAGTGAAGCTCTTCCCACATTCACTGCACAGAAAGGGCCTCTCCCCCGTGTGCTTCCTCTGGTGCATTTTGAGATCCCCCTTTGACGGGAACCTTTTTCCGCATTCAGTGCATGGAAAGGGCTTCTCCCCTGTGTGGAGTCTCAGGTGGATCTTCAGGTATCCCCTCTGGGTGAAGCTTTTCCCACACTCGGTGCATGCGTATGGCCGCTCCCCTGTGTGGATTCTCAGGTGGATCTTCAGGTCCCCTTTCTGAGAGAAGCATTTCCCACACTCACTGCAGGGAAACGGCCTCTCCCTCTTGTGGTTCCTCTGTCGTATTAGGAGATCTGTCTTCTCCACACAGCTTCGTTTGCATTCCTGAAGGGCGTCTGGTCTCTCCGTCACCTGGGCTTTCTGCTGAGCCGTGCTGTTTGTGGATAGCCCTTGCGTGTTTCCTACTGAGTTTCTTTGCGTTGTCTGGAGTTTGCTCTGACTCAGGCAGTTTTTCACCTTCACTGAACTTTGGGAAACTTTCTCTTTAAGCTTCACTGAAAAGGTCTTCACGGGAAGCAGGTTTTCAGCATCTTCCTCCTGATTCTTCTCCTCCATACTTTCATTCACAATCTCATCATCTACTAGAGAGAAAACAACAGACCAGATGTTATTCCATGTGATGGTAGCAAAAGAAACGTTTCTCGTTTAAACAAAAGTTTCTATTAATTGCAAACCCCCAGGGGCTGTCAAACCTCCCTGGGAGAAACACAGTTGGAATCTCAGACTTATTGTTATGTATTATTTGTGTGATGCGGACAGGCCGGATCCCTGCTCGGGCCCACGTCTCCCATGTCTCAGCTGGGGACTAAGAGACACACAGCTGGAGTCTGGCTGGGGTTTGTGCCCTGGTTTTGAACAGGCTGCACTGAGGTTGACACTCACGCTCTTGCATCACCGTTGGGAGCATTACAGTCTGTATAGCAGCAGCACCTAGGGATGCAGTCAAGGACCAGGGTCCCATTTTGCCAGGCACTGAGTGAGACATGCAGTGAAGAGACGTCAGACCATCCCTGCCCCAGACAGCTCCCGCTCTAGGTTGTATCAAGACACAACAGCTGGGGGAGACAAACAAATGGGGCTATGGGGAGGGAGGTGATGGGATACCAATAAAGCGAGCACATGGGTATACAATGAGCAACAGTCTTAACTCAGCATCTGCCTAGCCACTGTCAGCAGCATGGCTGGATCGGCCTCACTGCAGCCGGGCTCCCTCAGCAGGGGACCCGAGAAGGAAAGCTAGCTGCTGATTCCCCTCACCCCAGAGTTTCTCACACTCTGGAAGGGCAGCCCAGGAGACCACACAGAGGGGCAAGTAGAAGCAGCTGGAGGAGGATGGGAAACAAGTTGGGGTCCAGTTTGAAAGCTGCTCACTATCTAGGAAATCACTTTATGTACTTATTGGAAGCCCCATGGCCTTAAAATGAATCCCGGGCTTCCATGCTGCTGGTACTGTCCTGGAGAAAATTCACCTACCCTCTACTGAGATCAAAGTCTTTAAGTGGGTGCAACTTTATCACCGATCCTCCTGCCAGCTAGTCACTCATCCTGTACTGTACATCAGCTCCCATTCCCTGACACTGCCTCACTGCCCAGCTACTTCCACTTCCCCTTGTGCATGCCTGCACCCAGCAGGCAGGTTACAAGCTGAGGGATAAAGCTCTATCAGCTTCCGCTGAATTCCGCCAGCTCTGAAACCGGCTCGTGGAAACGTTAAAGCACACAGGAGTCACCAGACTGGATCAGACCGTCATCTATCCAGTCCCCTCTCCTGTCGGACCATGACTAATCACACTGGCTTCAGAGGCAGGGGCGAGGACCATCAGAATACGCTGCCTATCGGAAAAGATTGTTCCTAACGCCCTGGAGGCTGGGGGATTGTGCAGCAACCAGGCTGCAGGGGCAAGTCATGAAGAGGGAGCACTTTGAGTCGCAAAGAGAGAACGGGAGCAGACAAGGGGGGGGCCATATGGGGCAAAAGCTAACTCCCAGCCACAGCCTCAAGGAGGCACACCTGGACTGAGTGCAGCCCTTCACAGGTACCTTTCAATTTCATGGAATGCCCTTGTCCTTGTACCAGGAGAAGTTATGGCTCCTACACACACGGAGCTGCCCGTGCAGCTCTCTCCCTCCGCGCCGCTCTCGTGGCATCTGGGTAGCGGGCGTGAGGTTCACACGGGCTGTGGGGAAAAATGGGTCCTGCCAGCGCGGTTCAGGGAATGTGGTGACCCATATCAAACTGGCTGCGGTCCCAAGCGTTGCTGAAATCATCTTCTCCAACAACTCTCTCCGTCTCGAACCCTGGTACCCTTCTCCAGCTGTCCACACTGCCTTCCGGCAGGAATTCCCAACCTCCTTCCCTTGCATTCAACGTCCTGCCCAACTCAGCCACTGCCTATGGCCCAGCTCGGTCTTCATGTGAGCAGGAGCAACTGACTCAGAGAAGCAGCACCTACATACCCAAGTTTGTCTCTATCCCTCAGCACCCTAACTCCAGCTCCTCTGTAATTACCTGTCTGCCAGCTCCCTCTCTTCCCATTATGCAGTGTCCTAGGCAGGGAACTCCCTCGCCCTTAGCACCCGAACACCCCCCGCCCCACAGAACCCCTCCCTCCAAACTCCCACGCCCCTCTGATGCAAATCCTCACAGGGAAGTGAAGCATTCTGGTCAGTGTGCCGGCTGGCTGGTCTCGCCCACCCTCAGTTACAGCCTGATCATTACTGTTGCTATCAGCTGGCCTCAGCGTCCAGTTCTGCCACCCGCTTTCAGATATCGATAACCTTTTCTTCCGAAGGGAAATGGAGCGATTCTGGTTCTGACCGTCACCATGTCACTGGCGTGACACCATGAGGGGGAAACGACATCTCATGTGTCTTTTAAAACCAGTTTCTCTTCTGGAACAACAAATACTGAAGTGCTTTTACTCATAACACTGCAGCCATTGTGTGACCTCACTGGAGGGCAGAGTTGCGGTGTTCTGAGTCTTCACTGTGTGTTTCTTACCTTAGCTGCTTTAGATGTAACTTTGAGTTTCCTGGATTCAGAACTCTTGGTTTGGTTTACAACACCCTGCAGCGTTTTATCCCCCTAAAGTTATCCATGCACACACCAGCTTAACTGCAGCCCGCAGTATTTTGTCTAGAAAATGAACACCACTTAAAAATGAGACTGCAGGACCTCGCTAGCAGGCGCTTCCCTGTCTGTTCATTCCCCCAAGAGCTGAGAATTGTCAGAGATACAATTCTCACACGCTCCACGCAGGGAGAATCCCACGCAACTGTCTGGTGACGTGGCTTTTCATGTGTTGCACGGCCCCCCAGTAGCACAAACGTGTCTCTTTACCTAGCGAGGTGACGAGCTCGTAATTCTCCTTCATCACGTCCCAGTACAGTTCTTTCTGCCATTCCGCTAACTCCTTCCACTCCTCCGGCGAGAAATAGACTGCAACATCCTCAAATGTCACCGGAGCCTGAAATCACAAATTGTCACCTGGTTAGCATCTTCTGCATCAGCAGCATCCTGCCCCTTACAGCCCTGACCCTTGTCCAGGGATGGGGCATTTTCGAGTCACAGCGATAATCCACTCACTGCTGACACAGGAATTTAGGAGTTGCCAAACTAGGTCTGAGCAGGGGTACCCTCTCTCCAACAGCAGCAGTACCAGTTACTTCAATGGAAGTACAAGAAACCATGTCACAGAACGCGAATAACCTGCTTCTAGGGGAAAAGTCTTTGTGATTGCTATCAGCTCAGGCCCTGAAGCAGAATTTATAGTTTCCACAATTATATTTAATTATCCTGTCTAATGTAATGTTGGATGCTTGCATTAACCCTGAGTGCTTAATGTTTTTCTGAATTCTGCAAAGCTCCTGGACTCAATATTGCCATGTGGCAATGAGTTCCGCATTCTAATTTTGCGTTTTTCAGTTTCTGCTGCCTTTCAATGTCACTAAATGTTCCCTTGCTCTTGCACTGGGCAAGAGGATAAACAGAAGCAGCAAATTTACCCTCCCTATGCCAGTCAGTTCTTATACCTCTATCCTGTCCTCTCTCATTCATCTCCTCTCTAAACTAAACAGTCTCAATCTCACCTCACTCACAAGTCCCTCCTGGCCTCTAATTTGCCACCAGTCCCTGAACTCCCTCTGTATGTGCTATTGAACTGATGGGACAGGCTGACCAGAACTGAACACAATATTCAGGGCAGGGCACACCCCTGACACATGATGTCGGTGTGATATTTACTGTATCTTCAGGCACACTAACACGTCACATACTTTTCTGGGCCAGTGCTGTACGTGGAGCGGAGGTTTCCATTGCTCTGCTGCAATAACACCCAGCTCTTTGTCTGAGTGGTGACAATTGATCTAGAATCCAGACACGTGAATAAATAGCTCAAATGGATCTTTCCAAACTGCCTTGCTCTGCATTTGTTAGCAGTGAATTTCATCTGCTGTGGTGTTGCCCATTCACCTATCTTGGCTAGGTCTCTCTTGTTCCCAGGGGCACCAATTCAGATTTTGGTGGGTGGGGGAAGGGGGAATAACCCGTGATTCCTGGGGCTATGTAGGCACTTGAAAACTCTAGTTTTTTGGCAGGTAATTTAGCAATTAGCTGACAGGAGCCCTGTATCTAATTCCTTTATAAAAAATAAATAAATAAATATTAGACCCACTCAACTCTAACATCATCTTGTGGCAAATCACTTAAGGGACACTGGTTTAAAATTTTAATGTATATTCTTACTAACTCTGGAGAGAGAGAGAGAGTGCGCGCGCGCTTATCAGGACTCCTGGGTTCTATCCCAGCTCTGGGAGGGGAGTGGGGTCTAATGGGTTACAGTAGGGAGCAGATATATCTGGGTTCTATAGAAGAACATCAGAACGGCCATACTGGGTAAGATCAAAGGTCCATCTAGCCCAGTATCCTGTCTTCCAACAGTGGCCAATGCCAGGTGCCCCAGAGGGAATGAACAGAACAGGGAATCATCAAGTTGGCCTGTTGCCCACTCCCAGCTTCTGGCAAACAGAGGCAAAGGACATGCATGGATGTCTGCCCACCCTGGCTAATAGCCATTGCTGGACCTATCCTCCAGGAACGTATCTAGTTCTTACTGGAACCCTGTTATAGTCTTGGCCTTCACAACATCCCCTAACAAAGAGTTCCACAGGTTGACTGTGAAGAAACACTTTGTTTGTTTGTTTGAAATCTGCTGCCTGTTAATGTCATTGGGTGACCCCTAGTTCCTGTGTTCTGTGAAGGAGTAAATAACTCTTCCCTCTTTAATGACAGCTTTCAGAGTAACAGCCGTGTCAGTCTGTATTCGCAAAAAGAAAAGGAGTACTTGTGGCACCTTAGAGACTAACCAATTTATTTGAGCATGAGCTTTCGTGAGTGAGCTGTAGCTCACGAAAGCTTATGCTCAAATAAATTGGTTAGTCTCTAAGGTGCCACAAGTCCTCATTTTCTTCCTTCTTTACTTTCTCCACACCTCTATCATATTCCCCCTTTGTCTCTTTTCCATGCTGAAAAGTCCCAGTCTTATTAATCTCTCCTCATACCCTTAATCATTTCTGCTGCCCTTCTCTGTACCTTTTCCAATTCCAATGTATCTTTTTTGAGATGGGGTGACCAAATCTGCATGCAGCATTCAAGATGTTGGCGTACCATGGATTTATATAGAGGCAATATGATATTTTCTGTCTTATCTAGCCCTTTCCTAACGATTCCCAATATTTTGGAAGCTTTTTTAATTGCCACTGCACATTGAACAGATGTTTGCAGAGAACTATCCATAATGACTCCAAGATCGCTTTATTGACGGGTTCAGCTAATTTAGACCCCATCATTTTGCATGTAGAGTTGGGATTATGTTTTCCAATGTGCATTACTTTGCATTTATCAACAGTGAATTTCATCTGCCATTTTGTTGCCCAGTCACCCAGTTTTGAGAGATCCTTCTGCAGCTCTTCGCAGTCTGCCTGGGTCTTAACTGCCTTTAGTAATTTTGTATCATCTGCAAATTTTGCCACCTCACTGTTTACCCCTTTTCCCAGAATATGTTAAATAGCATTGGGCCCAGTACAGACCCCTGGGGGACACCACTATTTACCTCTCTCCATTCTGGAAATTGACCATTTATTCTACCCTTTGTTTCCTACCTTTTAACAGAATGGTCTGGCAGTGGTTTCAGGATCATCTAAGGATCCTTAATTTACTTTAATGACAAGCCTTTTGTTATCTTAATCACCCTGCCTATTTGTAAACAACTCCCTGCCCCAAAGACTGCTGCTCCCAGCTTCCAAATTCATCACATATCACACTGAAGCTGTTGCAGTTAAGAGCTCCGTCTGGGGCTAGGGTGAGTAGACCTCCCCTACGGAAGGGGCGGGGGGCTAGAGCCATCTCCTTGCCCCCCTAAATGGCACCCCTGCTAGTTCCTCACAGTCTCCTCTAATCTTGACTAACCCTGATTGTCTGCTGTGGTTTTTGCCACCTGGCTACTCACCCCATTTTCCAGGTAATTAATGAATATACTAAAAACCAGCCCTAGGTTAGAAGACTGCGGCATGCTCTGTGCCCCTTTGGCCACGCTGAACATCGACTGTCTAGTCCCATCTCGTAGCCAGTCACCGATCCACAACAGAACCTTCTCTCTTGCTCCATGACTCCCTTCGGTGCCCTTGGCAGTTTCTAGTGAGGGACTTCTGACAGAGGCTTTGAAACAGTCCCTACAAACGACACAAACCAATTGGTCTTTACCAATTATTTTGCTGACACACGAGAGAATTCACCTTCGTTTCCCCAGCTGGGTGCTCATGCTAGGAGCCATTCAGCACAGTAGAATCTCAGAGTTACGAACCCCTCGGGAATGCAGGCTGTTCGTAACGCTGAACAAAACATTAGGGTTGCTCTTTCAAACGTTTACAACTGAACACTGACTTAATGCAGCTTTGATATTTCACTATGGAGAAAAAATGCTGTTTTCTTTTCCCTTTATTTTTGTAGTTTACGTTTAATACAGTACTGTATTTGCTTTTCTTTTTTTTTTCTTTTTTTTTTTTTGTCTCTGCTGCTGCCTGATTAGGTACTTCCAGTGCCAAATGCGGTGTGTGGCTGACCGGCCAGTCCGTAACTCTGGTGTTCGTAACGCTGAGGTTCTGCTGCTCCGGAACAAGCACTGAGAGTTTGGTTTAACTCAGTCATCATGCTGGCGAATGAAAACGAGTAGGACTGTGTTTGTTTTTAAAGCCAGCTGTGTGGGCAGGGCAGAGAAATAAATGTCCTTCACTGAAACGCTCCTGAGGCACAAAGCCACCGGAAAGCTCAACACTCCAGCACGAGGGAGCTCAAAGAGCCCCGGGGGCCTACACCCCCCAGGGACCGGGACACCTCTGGACACAGAATAAGCTTGAGGTGACCAAGCTCCTATTGCCTTCAGCTGAGCCAGGCGGGCTCCCCCAGGCACTGAGGGCTGGTTACCCCTAAGAAGCCTGGGCACTTGTTTCTGGGCAAACGGGCTTGGGCGGGTTACCCAGAGGTTACAGGAGTGTCTTTAAACTAGGAAGATGGGACAAGAGTGGGAGTGTTGAAATCAGGCACAAACCTTGGGCTCTGTCTAAGCTACAGAAATAGCAGCTGGATTGTCATGAGAGGAAAAAGAAAACACGTTACAACCATGTGAGGAAACATGTTTTATCTTTGATACGGAGGAGGGTTAAACTACGGCCCCCTTATATGGTTAAAGTGGGGGGAGGTGTTTCGGGGGGGGGGCTGTTTTTTCTGTCCACACAGCCAAGAAGAAACCACATTATAATACTGTTGGGTCAAAATAATGTTAAAACGTGGCTTTAGAGTCACCCAAGGCTGGAAGCTGGATAAACCTGCACTGGGCCGGAGGATCGAACTCCCATCGCTACCATCCAGGGCAGTGTCTAACTGAAGTTTATTTCCAAAAGTTTCCCAACTTCGCCTCCCAGATTCAGCTCCACCCATAGCAGCAATGGGGGTGCTGGTGTAGACAGGACGACAGCTGGCCCTGGCATTTTAACCATCGTGTCCTGATCTGAGCAGAGCTGGAGGTCTAGAGAGCAAGGCAGTGAAAACACCAATGGCTGATCTACACTGGCACTCCTGCTGGCAGAGCAGCACCAGAGGCAGAGAGGGACGGCTTGGGCAGAAAGGCCCGGTGTGGACAAGACCTATGGTTTGGAGCTCCCCCAAAACCCAGTGAGGTCCAGCTCCTCAGCTGGCACAAGCCAGCACTAGCCCCTTGGACATCAGTGATGTTTATACCCATCCCCACCAGCCGAGGAGCTGGTCGGCATGTTGCAGAAGGAACATGTCAGTTCCGCACAGCGGGGCGCACTCACCCAGGGTGCACGTGCAGCATAGATGAAGGAAGCACTCAGCAGCCTAACCAGCGATCCAAATCTGCACATATCCATGCCAAGTGGGTGAGCGGAGGTTGCTATGAGAACCTGAATTCTTACTTTGCCTTGCATAACTCTTGCACAGCCAACAGAAATTGGGCTCAGCGAGTCTTCCAAGCCTCAGGGAGTGTTGCAAGCCTTGGGTCCATCTGCCAGCCTTCTCCTAACACACTAATTAGCTGCTCCCAGCACTGCTGTTCTTGGAAATAACCACCTCAGAAGGAAGAGGAGGGCAGCTTGCGACTTTCCTAGGAAGTAATATTCTTTCAAGTGTACCCACTGGTGCCTGGGGGATCTGGTAATAGGCTCCTAGCAATACCAATATAATTAGTTTCCTGACTATTTTGGTCTTTAACCTTAATTTAGCTTTCATGTCTAGGCAGATCCGTGCATAACATCAAATGAATTCACCAGAGGCAAAGTTCACTGCTGGGGCTGTGCACCACTGATGCCCCACTTCAGCCACAAGTGCCGGCCCTCCACACACTGGTGCATTTTCAGCCCCACGTCACATCTTTACCAGAGGAATCTTATCGTTGGATGGCTCTAAGACCCGTGCATTGAGTAACCAATCCTCTTCCAGCTGTCACAACACCTGTGGTTGCTTTTATGAAGCCTGTGTTTTTAGATGGAGATCAGTATATCGTATGTAATCAGCTGCCGGTCAGAGTGTCCAAACCAGCACTAGGGAACCAAGTGGGCATTCCTCTAACCAGGGCAGCTTAGGGTCAATACAGAGCATGGCTTCCTGCTCACAGGGCAAACCGCTGGTAGTCTCCAATGCTGGAGGAACATGCCCAATTCACCACAGTGCAGATTTTCAGAAGTGCCGAGTGACTCGGGGGGGTCACACTTGTGACACGTTAAAGAGGGTTGATGTTTTTCTCAAGAGAGAGCGGGTGCTCAACTCCCCATGAAAACCAGGCCCCTTTACAGAGTCTCCCGTTGGGCACCCAAACGCTGAGGTGCCCTGAATCACGACTTGCTTATGAAAATCTCTCCCCAGACCACGGTTCAAGAGAACAAGTGACAGTTAGTTGGATGCCAGTAAGTAGGGATATCAAAGGGGGCTTAGGCCCTTAGCCACAGGCTTTCCTCCGCCCATGGACCTGGCTTAAACTGGCTGCCAGTTCGGGGTCTAGGCAGACCCAGGGCGCATGGGCAGGGGTCTCGGAGATGGAGTCATTTTCCCCTGGAGCACTGAGCAGGAATCATCCACTAGGATCAACTAGGTGGATTTCCCATGATCCCTCTCCCATGGAAAAACACCCCCTAGACTCTAAGGCCAGAAGGGACCATCATGATCATCTAGTCTGACCTCCTGCACATCGCAGGCCACAGAACTTCACCCACCCACTCCTGTAACAGATCCCTCACCTCTGGCCGAGTTACTGACGTCCTCAAATCATGATTTAAAGACTTCAAATGACAGAGTCCACCATTTACACTAGTTTAAACCAGCAACTGACCTGTGCCCCATGCTGCAGAGGAAGGTGAAACCCCACCCAGGTTCCTGCGCTTTAGTAACACCCAAAGGGCTGGCTGCGGAGTCTGTCCTGCGAGGGGACCAGCGCCAGCCGCTTCCGCGCTTGTGGAAGGCTCTCCGGGTCCCAGCAGGACCAGGCCCCAAAGCTTGTGCATGCTGGTTCCTTGTTTCAGATAAATGGGCACTTCCAGGGGTGCCCAAGAACAGGCAAGCTGTGCCCAGTGAGAGGGCACTGCTACCCTGCAGAGGGGCGTGCCAGGCAGGAGGGAGCAGCTTGTCTGGGGAAACAGCTGCCCCTTCCTTTACAGCGTGCCCATGACAGGACAGGTCACTGGCCGGCCCCCAGTTTCTGAGCCTGGGACTTGAAGGACTCTGGCGGATTCTGAGTGGGGTTTGGCAGTGCCGGTTTCCTTGGGAACCCAGCTTCTGACACACCGATGCCCATCCCCGAATCGCCATTATCAGTGCCGGGTGAGCCCCAAGGTCTCCGGCGTGGCTATGCATAACCCCTCTGGAGCAGACGTAGGGCAGGGAGGAGCTGCCGGCGTTTCAGGGAGCTGAAAGGCAGTGACCAGAATTCATTCCTGCCCTGGTGCCAGGGGCTTTAAGGGGCCGCCCCTGGGGTGAGTCCGGTGCCATCTCCCTGCCACTCCCCCAGTGCGGAGAGAGGAGCCTTTCGGCGCTAGGCTCTGTCCCTGGAGGGGCTGGGCTGGCCTAGGAGGTTCAGCCCCGGGCCCTTCCCAAAAGCTGCACAACCCTAGCTTGGTAGGAGCCTGTCACCACCCAGCCGGGCAGCCCGGCCGGAATCTGGAGCGAATCAGGACCAGCTCCGCTGGACGCCATTTACACTGGTTTACGGGGAGCTGAAGCTCAGGCCGACCAAAGGGGAGCGAGCAGCTCAAGCAGCAATCGCCCCCACAGTGCCCAGGCCGGAACCAGGGGGCCCTGGGACTCTGCCCCCCCCGGGCAGCGCTGCTGAGTGCTCCGGCTGCAGGGCGGGGGGCCAGGCAGGGATGGGGCCAGAGGGGGAGACCCCGGGGGGGCAGGGGGGGCCTGGCAGGGAGGGGGCCTGGGGGGAGATTCCATGGGGCAGGGAGGGGCCGGGCAGGGAGACTCCGTGGGGAGGGGTGGGCCCTGGGGGGGACGGGCAGGGAGGGGGCCCGGGAGGGGGAGACCCCGTGGGGCGGGGGGGTCCCGTGGGGGGGGGCCGGGCAGGGAGGGGGCCCGGGAGGGGAGACCCCGTGGGGGGGGAGGGGGATCCCGGGGGGGCCGGGCAGGGAGGGGGCCCGGGAGGGGGGAGACCCCGTGGGGGGGCGGGGCAGGGAGGGGGCCCGGGAGGGGCCAGGCAGGGAGGGGGCCCGGGAGGGGAGACCCCGTGGGGCGGGGAGGGGGTCCCGGGGGGACGGGCAGGGAGGGGGCCCGGGAGGGGAGACCCCGTGGGACGGGGAGGGGGTCCCGGGGGGGACGGGCAGGGAGGGGGCCCGGGAGGGGGAGACCCCGTGGGGCGGGGAGGGGGATCCCGGGGGGGGCCAGGCAGGGAGGGGGCCCGGGAGGGGAGACCCCGTGGGACGGGGAGGGGGGTCCCGGGGGGGACGGGCAGGGAGGGGGCCCGGGAGGGGAGACCCCGTGGGGGGGGGGGGGGAGGGGGTCCCGGGGGGGACGGGCAGGGAGGGGGCCCGGGAGGGGGAGACCCCGGTGGGGGGGGGGGGGGGTCCCGGGGGGGGGGGGGCTGGGCAGGGAGGGGGCCCGGGAGGGGGAGACCCCGTGGGGCGGGGAGGAGGGGGGGGCCGGGGGGGCCGGGCAGGGAGGGGGGCCCGGGAGGGGGGGAGACCACGTGGGGCGGGGAGGAGGGTGCCGGGGGGGGGGGGGGGCCGGGCAGGGAGGGGGCCCGGGAGGGGGAGACCCCGTGGGGCGGGGAGGAGGGTGCCGGGGGGGGGCCGGGCAGGGAGGGGGCCCGGGAGGGGGGAGACCCCGTGGGGCGGGGGGGGTCCCGGGGGGGAGCCCCGGGGGGGGGGGGGGGGGCCGGGCAGGGGAGGGGGGCGCGGGAGGGGGAGACCCCGTGGGGCGGGGGGGGTCCCGGGGGGGGGCCGAGCAGGGAGGGGGCCCGGGAGGGGGGAGACCCCGTGGGGCGGGGGGGGGGGTCCCGGGGGGGACGGGCAGGGAGGGGGGGCCCGGGAGGGGGAGACCCCGTGGGGCAGGGAGGGGGCCCGGGGGGGGGAGACCCCGTGGGGCGGGGAGGGGGATCCGGGGGGGGGCCGGGAGGGGGAGGGGGGGACCCCGTGGGGCGGGGAGGGGGATCCCGGGGGGGGGGGCAGGGAGGGGGAGACCCCGTGGGGCGGGGAGGGGGTCCGGGGGGGGCAGTGAGGGGGCCCGGGGGGGGGACCCCGTGGGGCGGGGGGGTCCCGGGGGGGGGGTCCCGCCGCTCTTTGTGCCGCTCGCCCCAGCCCGGCCCCGGCCGCCCCCGCCGCGCTCCCCCGAGCCCGGGCCCGGGCCGCCCACCTGCGCCGAGCCCGCGCTGGGCATGTTCCCGCCGGCCCGGCCCGGCCGCTCGCGGCTCCGCGGGAGGCTCCGGCCGGGGCTGGACGCGGCTCCCTGCGGCACCGGGCGGCGCGGGGCGCACTGGGCATGCGCAGGCGAACGGCGCATGCGCAGTAACACCTGCTGAGGCCGCTGCCCTTCCCTCTGCCCGTCCGTGCCCGGGGGTTCCTCCGCTTCGCACGGGGGGGCACCGGGGGGGGCCGGAAGTTGACGGGGGGGCGGGGTCCCGGAAGGGGCGGCGGGGTTGGGGGGGGCTGAGGGATGGGGGGGAGCGGGGTTAACCCAGGGGCGAGGCAGGGGCACGGGGGGGGGCAGTGACCGGGGGGGGGGCTGCGCCCCCGTGTTTGCAGCAAGGGGGGGGGCAAAGGGGCTCGTTTATTTCCCCTCCCCCAGGCGGCAGCGCCCGGCATGGGCCGCCCCGGCTCCCCAGCGCCCCGTCCCGGCAGCGCCTCCTCGGTGTGCGCGGCCGAGGGGCTGCCCCCGGGGGAGAACGGGGTGAGACCGGGGCCTCCCCAACCCCCCCGCCCCCAGGGGGCCGTGCACCCCCCCGCATTTCCCCAACCCCCCCGCTGCCCCCCAGGGGGCTGTGCACCCCCCCGCATTTCCCCAACCCTCCCCAGGGGGCTGTGCTCCCCCCTTGCATTTCCCCAACCCCCCCGCTGCCCCCCAGGGGCTGTGCACCCCCGCATTTCCCTAACCCCCCACCCGCCCCCCAGGGGGCTGTGCACACCCCCGCATTTCCCCAACCCTCCCCAGGGGGCTGTGCACCCCCCCACACATTTTCCCAACCCCCCCCCGTGCCCCCAGGGGGCTGTGCACCCCCCACACATTTTCCCAACCCCCCCGTGCCCCCAGGGGGCTGTGCACCCCCCCCACATTTCCCCAACCCCCCCGTGTTCCCAGGGGGCTGTGCACCCCCCCGCATTTCCCTAACCCCCCCCCCCGCCCCCCAAGGGGCTGTGCACACCCCCGCATTTCCCCCAACCCCCTCCCCCAGGGGGCTGTGCACCCCCCACATTTTCCCAACCCCCCCCCGTGCCCCCAGGGGGCTGTGTACCCCCACACATTTTCCCAACCCCCCATGCCCCCAGGGGGCTGTGCACCCCCCCACATTTCCCCAACCCCCCCCCGCTCCCCAGGGGGCTGTGCACCCCCCGCATTTCCCCCACCCCCCCCCGTGACCCCCAGGGGGCTGTGCACCCCCGTATTTCCCCCCCCAACCCCCCCCCCGTGCTCCCAGGGGGCTGTGCACCCCCCCCACACATTTCCCCAACCCCCCCGTGTTCCCAGGGGGCTGTGCACCCCCCCCACATTTCCCCAACCCCCCCCCGTGTCCCCAGGGGGCTGTGCACCCCCCCCAGTGGTCACCTAGTTCCATGAAGTGCTACGTTATGGGGCAGTGTTTAGCAAATTAGGACAAGTCAGCAAATAACAACCTTATGTTCTTGGTGGTGATGGGAGACTTCAACTACTCAGACATCTGTTGTGGAAAATAACACAGCAGGGCACAGATTATCCAACAAGTTCTTGGAATTTATTGGAGACAATTTTTTATTGCGGAAGGTGGAGAAAGCAACCGGGGGGGGGCGGAGGGAGGCTGTTCTCGATTTGATTTTGACAAATAGGGAAGAACTGGTTGAGAATTTGAAAGTGGGAGGCAGCTTGGGTGGAAGTGATCATGAAATGGTAGAGAGTATCAGAGGGGCGGCCGTGTTAGTCTGGATCTGTAAGAGCGGCAGAGAGTCCTGGGGCACCTGATAGACTAACAGACGTCTTGGAGCAGGAGCTTCCGTGGGTGAATACATGCCATGCCGCCGACGAAGGGGGTATTCACCCACGAGAGCTCATGCTCCAGTACGTCTGTTAGTCTGTCAGGTGCCACAGGACTCTCTGCCGCTTTTACATGAAATGGTAGAGTTCCTGATTCTAAGGAATGGTAGGAGGGAGAACAGCACAATAAAGACAATGAATTTCAAGAAGGCAGACTTTAGCAAACTCAGGGAGTTGGTAGGTAGAATCCCATGGGAAGCAAGTCTAAGGGGAAAAGCAATTGAAGACCGTTGGCAGTTTTCAAAGAGACATTATTAAGGGCGCAAGAGCAAACCACCCCACTGCGTAGGAAAGATAGGAAGTCTGGCAAGAGACCAGGAGATCTTCAATGATCTAAAAGTCAAGAAAGAGTCCTACAAAAAGTGGAAACTTGGTCAAATTACAAAGGATGAATATAAACAAATAACACAGGTATGTAGGGATAAAATTAGAAAGGCCAAGGCACAAAACAAGATCAAATTAGCTAGGGACATAAAGGGTAAGAAGAAAACAAAATACATTAGAAGCAAGAGGAAGACCAAGGATAGAGTAGGCCCATTACTCAACAAGGTGGGGGAAACAATCACAGAAAATGTGGAAATGGATGAGGTGCTTAATGACTTCTTTGTTTCAGTTTTCACCAAGAAGGTTGGTGGCAATTGGACATCTAACACAGTGAATGCCAGTGAAAATGAGGTAGGATTACAGGCAAAAATAGGAAAAGAACAAGTTAAAAATTACTTAGACAAGTTAGGTTTCAGAGGAACAGCCGTGTTAGTCTGTATTTGCAAAAAGAAAAGGAGTACTTGTGGCATAAACCAGTTGGAGAACACTTCAATCTCTCTGGTCACGCAATCACAGACATGAAGGTCGCTATCTTAAAACAAAAAAACTTCAAATCCAGACTCCAGCGAGAAACTGCTGAATTGGAATTCATTTGCAAATTGGATACTATTAATTTAGGCTTAAATAGAGACTGGGAGTGGCTAAGTCATTATGCAAGGTAGCCTGTTTCCTCTTGTTTTTTCCTACCCCCCCCCCCCGATGTTCTGGTTTAACTTGGATTTAAACTTGGAGAGTGGTCAGTTTAGATGAGCTATTACCAGCAGGAGAGTGAGTTTGTGTGTGTATGGGGGTGGGGGGGATGTGAGAAAACCTGGATCTATGCAGGAAATAGCCCGACTTGATTATGTAAAGAGTTGTCACTTTGGATGGGCTAGCACCAGCAGGAGAGTGATTTTGTGTGGGGGGTGGAGGGTGAGAAAACCTGGATTTGTGCTGGAAATGGCCCACCTGTTGATCACTTTAGATAAGCTATTACCAGCAGGACAGTGGGGTGGGAGGAGGTATTGTTTCATATTCTCTGTGTGTATATAAAGTCTGCTGCAGTTTCCACGGTACACATCTGATGAAGTGAGCTGTAGCTCACGAAAGCTCATGCTCAAATAAATTGGTTAGTCTCTAAGGTGCCACAAGAACTCCTTTTCTTTTTAGACAAGTTAGATGTCTTCAAGTCACCAGGGCCTGACGAAATGCATCCTAGAATACTCGAGGAGCTGACTGAGGAGATATCTGAGCCATTAGCAATTATCTTGGAAAAGTCATGGAAGACAGGAGAGATTCCAGAGGACTGGAAAAGGGCAAATATAGTGCCCATCTATAAAAAGGGAAATAAGGACAACCTGGGGAATTACAGACAGTCAGCTTAACTTCTGTACCCAGAAAGATAATGGAGCAAATAATTAAGCAATCAATTTGCAAACACCTAGAAGAGAATAAGGTGATAAGTAACAGTCAGCATGGATTTGTCAAGAACAAATTGTGCTAAACCAACCTGATAGCTTTCTTTGACAGGGTAACAAGCCTTGTGGATGGGGGGAAGCACTAGACGTGGTATAGCTTGACTTTAGTAAAGTTTCTGATACTGTCTTGCATGACCTTCTCATAGACAAACTAGGAAAATGCAACCTAGATGGAGCTACAATTAGATGAGTGCAAAACTGGTTGGAAAACCGTTCCCAGAAAGTAGTTATCAGTGGTTCACAGTCATGCTGGAAGGGCATAATGAGTGGGGTCCCGCAGGGATCAGTTCTGGTTACGTTTCCATTCAATAACGTCATCAGTGATTTAGATCATGGCATAGGGAGTACACTTATACAGTTTGCGGATGATACCAATTGGGCTGGGAGGGGCTGCAAGTGCTTTGGAGGATAGGGTTAAAATTCAAAATGATCTGGACAAACTGGAGAAATGGTCTGAAGTAAGTAATTCAATAAGGACAAATGCAAAGTACTCTACTTAGAAAGGAACAATCAGGTGCACACATACACAATGGGAAATGACGGCCTAGGAAGGAGTCCTGCGGAAAGGGATCTGGGGGTCCCAGTGGATCACAAGCTAACTATGAAAAAAGAAAAGGAGGACTTGTGGCACCTTAGAGACTAACACATTTATTTGAGCATAAGCTTTCATGAGCTATAGCTCACTTCATCGGATGCATTCAGTGGAAAATACAGTGGGGAGATTTTATATACATAGAGAACATGAAACAATGGGTGTTACCATACAGACTGTAACGAGAGTGATCAGGTAAGGTAAGCTATTACCAGCAGGAGAACAGGGGGGGGAAAAACCTTTTGTAGCGATAATCAAGGTGAGCCATTTCCAGCAGTTGACAAGAACGTCCGAGGAACAGTGGGGGGGGGGGGGAGAATAAACATGGGGAAATAGTTTTACTTTGTGTAATGACCCATCCACTCCCAGTCTCTATTCAAGCCTAAGTTAATTGTATCCAGTTTGCAAATTAATTCCAATTCAGCAGTCTCTCGTTGAAGTCTGTTTTTGAAGTTTTTTTGTTGAAGAATTGCCACTTTTAGGTCTGTAATCAAGTGACCAAAGAGATTGACGTGTTCTCTGACTGGTTTTTGAATGTTATAATTCTTGACGTCCACATATCTATTCAGGGGACACCATCATAGGGCCTAATCACATCAGCCACACCATCAGAGGCTCGTTCACCTGCACATCTACCAATGTGATACATTCCATCATGGGCCAGCAATGCCCCTCTGCCATGTACATTGGCCAAACCGGACAGTCTCTACGTAAAAGAATAAATGGACACAAATCAGACGTCAAGAATTATAACATTCAAAAACCAGTCATATGGTAACACCCATTGTTTCGTGTTCTCTGTGTATATAAATCTCCCCACTGTATTTTCCACTGAATGCATCCGATGACGTGAGC